CAGGATACCAAGGCCAGGCCATGATGGAATCCTAATGAGATGTATGTCGGACAGCATCTACTTGAATTGTCAACATGAAACAATCTACAAATAACGGAGAATGTGATTTTGTATCACCCAATGTGATGGACGTACTATCTATTGTGCTGGTGGGTTTTTGCAGCAATGGAAACAACGAAGTGCTTACAGCAAAAGCAATGCAGCCATTCTAAAACTAGGGAGGTAAAATGAGTGCTAGAGTCCGAACCCACTTTGTCAGCGCGGGCTTAGCATCTAATCGAGCATCTTCCGACATGATATGGTAGACAACATACTCCTATTGCTGAACTGTGGCTTGAGGCTCTTCAGTGAGCCCTGACTCTTGCATCATCTCCAAAAATGTACAGGCATTGGGCATTCTTTCCTCGATCTTGAAGATCACTCATAGGCTTTTAGCAGGTTTCTCCTCTCATGCTCCGGTCGTTGTAGACCATTCGCTGTTTGAACAGAATTGTGAAAAGCTTGAAGGTCTGGGGGCCGGGTAAGGTGTATCCGGGGTGGGAATAATAATATTTTATATTGATCAAACCATCAAAAAAGATTCAGCAATTAGAATCATTTCATGAGGATATACTGCTTCTAGGAACACTTGATAAAAGCGATTCTAATTATTGATTGGATGCCTACTTTTTAATGAATGAAAACCTTTCGTGTTTTAGAAATAGTCAGGTTCAAGCAATAGGTGAGAATCTGTCCACAAGACGAGGGGAAGCTAAACTCTAAACATAATTCTTTGCCCTTGTCTTGCTCGATACGAAGATCTTCTTAGGCTACCGAAAACGTGTGGGAATATGTAAGGACTCAAACGTTCAATCAGAGTATTTTCATTCCAACCTAAAACTGGCTTATGCTCTAAGCTGATTCTTGCAAGAATTAAGAATGTTCCCTCCCGCACGTCCATGTATAATGAAGTGGCCAGTGAGCTTCTCTACTTAACTCCTTCAGTCAAACAAACAGAATTGACGAAGCACTGGCCGATTGGGAGGCCAATTGAAACAATAGCCTGGTTTACTATGAAACACCTCGTTGACTTGCATGGATTCAGTTCGTAATGTCTGTGCCAAGTGAAGATCCAGCAATACGCGCCGCCGTATTCCCTGGGACGCATGACATAGAAATCCTGTATCAAGAGTGATGGATAAACTTTCGTGAAGTGAGCAGGAATATTTCTCCCAACTTGGTAGAATCCGCGCATAAAATGATTCTAGCTCAAGATAAATCTGGGGGATCTAAGGAACTCGTAAGGGATCTTAAAAGAGAAAGGGCAGGCGGACCTTATGGTTTGAGCTTCGGGCTTGTAGGCCAATGTGGCCATGCTCAGAGAGAGGTTTTCATTGAATGCTGTGCATGTTGTTACAGGTGAAACGGGAATAAATCTATCGACACATAGTTAAACACTACTCGTAGTTTCCTTACAGACACTCCACATACTAGTGTCTACTGATCCTCTTGGTTAACAATTCTCTGATTTCAACCGATGAATGCAAGTATAAATGACGACGACCTTCTCTCAGGAAAGTGGACCCAATCCGACACCGAATGAGATCTGAGATCGGGATGCCGAGGTCCATTACAGTGGCTAGACCAGTAAAGGTTTTGTACTGCGTTCATTCGTCAGTTCGTCTGACTAGTCGGAGTCTCGTACATCGGAACACTACAATCATACTCTTCCACACAACGTTACGAGGACCACCTTTTCTACTGCTCTCGCCGATCTCATGTCCTGGACATGGCGATCAGGTGCTGCTCGTTCCACAAGACGCCTTCCCCTCGCCATTTTGGGGATTTGGTCGACGATCTAGCACTCGCCGGTGCTCTTTTGCTGCTGGGAGCGAGCTAGAGCAGATCTTGAGTCCGAAACTTCAGGACTCGCTTTTGAACTCTGCAGGTCTTGGAGTCCATGACCGTATATCCATAGATCCTTGACTCCTTCAGACAAGCAGAATTGAAGAAAAGTTGGCAAGCACTCGCACATTTGACTGGCAGTCTTCAGGTTCTATCTTTGAATATCACGCTGGTCACGTCACACCTCGAGGCAGCTTCCGGTGTGACGTGACTGACTGGTGGCCCAGATAGAATTGACTGTAAGAAAAAAATATGTACGCTAAAATATGCTAAAAGCTGGAACCATGATCTTTGTTCTGAAAATGAGAGAAACGATGGTGATACCTTTCGGGGTGCAATTTTTAAATCAGAAGGAAAATTATAATGTTCTCAACTATCAAAAGCTACACTTTATATCGGCTTACCGGCTTTATATCTATGTCTGTAATTATTATTATATTCTTCCATTGTTTGCAGCACCTGAAGTCGGCTGGGTTACAGCAGATACAGATTGAGAATGCGAGATTCTACCCAGGAATAGGAGTAGCTGTCAAAACCATCTCCATCCCTGAGGAATCATAGCCATGGTTTCAGATCGAATATATTTTGTATGTGTGACTTGAGTATCCCGGGACTTCGGTCCAATCGTAAGACATCTCTATAGTGTCTGTGTCATGCTTTTGAGTAACACCACAACACTGCACTTTCTAGCACCACCTAAGAAGCAAAAGGTACAACACGAGACACGATCATGCATCTCTCTGTTCATTTATCCACGAGATCAACAGTTTCAGAGCATACCTTCCTCTTTTAGGACAAGTTCCAGGCCAGTACCCAGGTATTGCTTTTGGAAATACATTGGGGCCAAGTCGCTCACATTCTTACGTTGTAGCAACACAGTAAAAACACGTGCTCAAATAAATGATTCAATGACATTATTTTCGAATAAAAAATTTTGCAGTACACAGGAGCGAAATTACTTTGTGTGTTCACATGAAGAGATGTCCATGAGTCGAATTGGAGGCGTCTTCAAAACTTACACATGACTCCTTACCTTTCATAGAATGGAAATCTGCAGGGCTAGCACTGAGGAAGTCTAATTATCTTATTTAATCCTAATAGACGTGAAGAAGATCAGAATTGCGTACATTACAAATTTCATGTGAATTTCGATGGATATGGATCCAGTATAAATTTCTGGCAGAAGCCATTTACAACTCTCTGCTTGCTGATGATTGGATTCAGGTAGGTATGTAACTTCTCTATAATTTGGATCTCGATCATACTGCAGTTGACGTGAAGTTGACCCCTTCATGGTACACTCCAGCTGAGCTCCACGGTCCAGCCGACACCGGATGCATCTAAGAGACGAAACAGGAGGAGATTGCACCGATGTCCTTCACAGTTGCTTCGCGGTTTGATCTCCATTCGTGATCATGCCGAAGGGGCCTTCAGCTGAACAAGGGAGCAAGCGAAACGCTTGTCAGTTTTTGAGTCCAGGTAGTCGACCACTGTCTGCACTGCTGCCGGTTGCTGGAAGATACGCCCTCCTTACATCAGACCGTGCTCTTCCCACTTTTCTCCACCTGTGGTTCGTCTGTTTCGCTGTAATGCTCTCATCGCAGCACCTTCAAGTCACTTTTTCTCATTATTCACGGTCGTGCCTTCGCTTCCAAGGGGTGCAGGTTGAAGATCTAAGCACACGTAGATTGAACCACATGCACAAGAGAGCTTACAATCACGACAAGCGTCCTATTGTCAATCGAATAAGGTCTTGGTCCAAATCCTGCTCCGTTGATGAGACTCAGTTCCCAGTACTGATGTTACTCTATGTCGAACTTCCTGCTTTGGAAGTTCGTCCGTTTGGTCAGCACATAAGAAATCGTCGACTTCATGACACAAAGTTTATCCAGATTCGAGGACCACTGATATTATACAGACACCCAGTAGATGGGATGACATAAACTCAGTGCAGCCCATGCATTGGGGAAAACTCCTGCAGATTCAGATTCATATTTGTAGCAAATATCATATGTTTGGTCATTGATAAGGAGACCACTGACGTTCAAGCCCATATCTGAATATGAAGACGTATGTAAGCTCATTTCCATGACTCCGGATAGACTGACTGGCACGTCCGAAAGAGGCTGTGTAAGTCATTAAGATGTAAATTTTAAGAAATAGCTATACAATCCGGGCACTGAATTGCCTGGAGTGAGGACTCAGACGATTCTATGTGGACATCCCCATCAATACAACTCCGGCCGGCTTCTACAGTCCTTGAGCACCACTGATTATCCTATATGGAAGATATTTAGAACCAAGCAGGATTCTCAGCCTCTGGATTCTATAATTTATGAGCATGAGGGTTTACAGATTAGGCAGCAAAGCAAGCAAAGCCAAGAAGCAGCGAGGCAGCGAGGCAGGAACGGATCGGGGACTCGGTTCAGTCAAAGATCTGATCAAATGAATCTGTAGTATATTTAATTGAGACTAAGTTCAGTCAAACAGGCAAATAGTCAATCAAAACGAATCAGTGAGTCAGTGGCAGCCATCAAGGTGGCCGCAACTGACCCCAAGGCCGGAATGGACATGGAGGTGACTCTGAGGATATGTTGGAAGAGCAACGACCGCATCACCACACGCGTCTTCGCCTGGCCATGAGAATCGACGACCGAAAGTCACAAGGAGTGCAGAAAAAATGCGCACGGTTCCGCCATCATCGGGGCCATGCTTCTGTTCCCGTGTTCGAGATCGGCTGCTAGTTCATTAAATTCGAGGAATTGGAACTGGAGTTGGAATTGGATGTACACTGACGTAATGTCTGCGAGTTCCTTCTCTAAGGCTTTCCGTTTCCCTGCCATCGCCAATGAAACCGGCTTTCCTGCAGAGGCCAGATTCATCCATCTCTGAGCGTGAAGAATGTCCGGCGACGAAGAAGGTTTAAGAGACCATGAATCCGGACACCATAGTCTGAGAACTTGAGTTCGAACGCCAGGGATTTTCTACTTTGTGAAGCCATTTATAAGGGCACGGCTTGGAGAATCTCTACAATCCATTGCAGCCAGGGAATCGTCCGGAAGAGTATTCTCTCCTGACAGCCACATGCACAGCAGGCAGGTGCAAGCTAGAGAGCGAAGTTTAAAAGTGTAATTTATTCATGTACAGTAATATTGATATCATCAATAATCTTTGAAGTATACAGATACACGTATCGGGTCGATCGATGTGACTTACTCAATACTACTCATCAATCGTTCCAAGGGTTGCAGGCCACTATAAGAAGTATATTTTACTTCCTGAGAAATTGCACACAATCAGACGCGAGTCTCAGACCCGAGGACTATCAAGTAAGTGTCTTGAGCATCGACAGCAGCGAATAAATTGCTTTAACGCTTTGGACATATATTTATACACCTCTGCAGCGACAATCGTAATCGAAATTCCAACAGCACGGCGGCCATGAAATATGAAATCTCGAAATCTCGAAATCGCAAAACTGGACACAAGAAGGCAGCTGCCTGTCTCAGATATGATAAGACGAAACGTTCCTGCTGCTGCTTGTGCTATGGAGCTTGTCGGAGATAAGCTTCAGCCTGGGGGCAAGCAAGCAGAGCGCCCGGCCCCTGGCCTGGCTCACGTAACTCTAGGTCTGGTTCCAAAGCCACGAATAGGAATCGTCGGTCGCGTGGATGAAAAATGGATAGCCTCGTGCTCCGAGCTCCAAGCTCCCAGATCCAGCACTGATCCGAAGCTTGCAACCGACCGCACGCTGGGAAAATTGAGTGTGACGTGTGGCCCTGCCTGCAGTAAGTCAGTCAGTAAGAACCTTGGGCCTCGTCGATCATGCCTTGTGTGATGTGCCTGCCGACACACATGCCCGACAAATATGTGAGATGAGCAATTCCTTCGACTGAAGGCTCGGATCGCAGGGAGGCAGGCAGGCTGGCACGGGAGACAATCTAGTGATGAGAGGTCGACCAGACAGATCTGGTCCTGAGTGCATGCGTAGACCCGTCGACGGAAGCGAGCGAGCGTGCGAGAATCAGAGCGCATCGGGCTGAGGATATAGATTCACGACGACTGCTGCAACGACGGGGGAAACGGCACCTCTCAGGGGAGGTCCTCCCCACGGCCATACACCGGACCTCATCGCCATTCCGAGCGCTCGCATGTATTATGGACCAGCCTGCTCGCAGATTCAACCTGCAGCTCGAGACAGAACAAAATCTCACAGTGGGCGCGACCATGGCAGATGCCGCTCGATCGTTTGTCGTTTTCTCAGCTCTCTCTCTCTCTCTCTCTCTTGTGGCACCGACTGCTCCATGGCCCCTGCCTGGCAACCCCCTATATAAGCTCAGCTCCGTCGTGCTCCATCTCCATGCCCATGGACCTCTCTCCCTCTCCTCTCCTCCTCTCTCCCTTCCGTCACACTCTTTCGATCCTCGACACTTCTCCATCTCCCTGGCCCTCTTTCTCTTCGTTAGTTCTCGTAGCTTCGGTCCTCGAATTTCCAGTGGCCATGTGACCTGTGACACTGACCTAAAACCCCACATCGCCAGCAGAAGCTTCGATTCGATTGAAGGAGAAGAGAGGAGAGAGGGCAAGGGCAACATTCTGTAATCAGTGTGGCTCTGGCTGACGATTGAGGAGCGAGCGAGCGAGGGAGCAGGCAAAGATGGCGGGCGTGGAATTGAAGCAGGGAGGGATGGGGGAGATGGGGGAGATGGGGGAGCTGGAGTTCAAGAGCAATCAGGAGGTGAGCGGAGTGGATTTCGGGTACCAGATGGTCGAGAGATGGTGCACGATCAACAGGGTGCCGTCGCCATTCGGAGCGCAGACGCTGCACTTCGCTCCGGCGAGCACGAGGCACAGAAGCTCGCAGCAGAAGCAGAAGCAGCAGCGATTGAGGTTCATGTGCACGATGCCGCAGGTGGGCACGAGGAGGAGCAGGAGGAGGAGGAAGCACGTGATCTTCTTCTTCGACTCGGACGAGGTCGAGCGGCTGGCCGAGCGCCATTTCCCGCCCTCGGTGGCGCTCAAGAACATCGAGGACGACATGCTGCGCCCGCTGACGGACTGCGAGGTGGCGCGCCTCAAGGTCGCCCAGCGCCACGCCACCTTCTACGTCTACGCCGTCAAATGGCGGGGCCGCGCCTTCGAGCGCATGCCCGAGCTCTGCGATCTGCTGCTCCGCCTTCCGACCCTCCTCCCCGACGACGACCGCTTCACATTCATCCCTCGCCCGAAACCCGTCTCCGACAAAATCGTCCTCGCGCCTCGAGCACCTTCGCAGCCGATCGACAGCCGATCCCGAGCCCATCTTCGACCTCTGCCGAGCGAGGCCGAGACGAGCAAGCTGCTGAAAATCTCTCCCAAGTGCCGAGCATTATGAGCTCCCATCGACCGACCCCCGACCTTTGCACAGCTCCTGCATCTGAATCCATCGTCCCATTCGAGCGCTGAGTGCGGAGTGCGGCAATTACCACCACCACCACCATCGACATCGACATCGACATATGTACATTTCATCTCATCAATTGGACAGCATCGACCATCGTGTACAAATTCGCAGAGTGCAGTTCTGATCCAGCAGCGCACAGCAACAGCAACAGCAACAGCAACGAACGAAACGTAGAACGAAACTCAGAGCAGCAAATGTTACGACAATCAGAAAGATAGAGCGTTGCAGCAGCAGAGCGTCCCCGGCACCTTGAGATTGAGCGTCCAGGCCCCCCTCGTCGTCATCTTGTAAATCGTCGCGCAGCTTTTGTAGTAAGCCCACAGTGCAAGTCCTGGTCATAGGTTCCGCCCATTATACAGTTTCAGATCCCCCGTGTCTCTCGATTTCTATTCGAAGATCGGTGGAGCTCTTGTGCTCGGCGTTTCTCTCTTGTATAGTCAGTCTGTCAGCCCATCAATCCGTCATTCAGTCTGTCTGTTCGTTTCTGTGCACAGCCGCCATCGCCACGAGTCCATAAAAACTTTATGTTCCACATGCTCGAGCCCTGTGCTCTCGTGTGATATAAAATGCACCCGCACGACGCACTTCGAGCAATTCACTTCTTCTCAGCTTCCGCTTCCGCGTCGATGTCGATGTCGATGCACAAATGTCTGCAAGTCTGTCTCAGAACTGCTCGCCACATACAGTATCCACCTGCACATTCGCTCCCCAACGTCTTCCTGTCCCCGCTCCCGACGACTTTGGCGCACGGTCAACGCGGTCACGAAATCCGCAGGAGTACCGGATCCATGACCCCGTGCCCTGAGAAGTCGACCTCTTTGCGTGCGCAGCCGGTCGTCCTTCGAATGGCGAAACTGGTAACCCCGGTGACCGGTTTCCGAGTCTACGTACGTGCGTCACATGCAGCGAGGTGCACTTTCTCGTCGCAACGGTCCTTGTTCTACGCTGGGTCCTCTGGAGTCTGTGCTTTCACTCACTCACTCACTCACTCACTCACTGCCTTTCCTGAGAGAGTGGCAGCGCCGTGATCGAGTGGTTCCCACACTCGGAGCCCACAATTCTCGCTCGTGGGACCGATTCGAAAAGGTGAGTTCGTGGGAGTGAATTCTCGGCACATCATGCGCACTTCTTCTTCTTCTCCTCCTCGATGGTCGAGAGGGGTCACAGTTTCCCGTTCACGGAGCTTTCGATGTCTCTCAGTCACAGTTAACATCTACGACTGTAACCTGCGTTTGGTCCGTTTGCTCGAATCTCCCGATTCAGCGTCCGATTGATCCTTTTCTTCTACGATTCTTTCTCCGCCTCTTTGGATCGTTTCTACAAGCATCGATACGGCCACGAGAAAAGGCGATGAGCTGGATTCTGGTGCTTGGAGTTGAATGCCATCTTCGATCTTCGCCGCCGGTGGACTTCTGTCGGGGTTTTATGATTCACAACAAATCTCCTTCTTTTGAGGGTATTAGACAATTTTGCAGAATCGATTTCTCTGGAGGTGTTCTTCCGATTGGCCCGAATATCATGTGGCAAGCTTCATTCTCTGGGAGCTGACGACCGTCGAGAAGATTTTCTCCAGAGAGTATATTGTTATTCAGTGCATAGATAGAGAACCCATTTCTCACTTCTCATGTTCACAGTTTCTGCTATGACGATACTTTTCATGTCGGTTTTTATTTGCAGTGGCATATGGGCAAACCAGCGAACAGATTTGGAGAGTTCTGCTGCTACTGCTGCTCGGCAACGAGCTTTACTAAGAAACAGGAACACTACAAACCAACAGATTTGAGAAAAATTTGATTAATTCAGGTTCTCTGACTTGCATGGGAGGTTTCCAGAAGAATAATAATAACAATGAATACCTTGTAAATAATAATATGCATCTCCTGATCCAGTATATTTTTCGAAGCTGGTCTTTATTTCCAATATCACATCTATTCAGGTTTGCTGTCTTTCGTCCATATTTCACATCAACTATATATCAAGGTTAAAAGTCAAGTTATCCATTAAACTTCCAACTTCTAGTTTTCCGTTTGTCCAGCTAACATCGTTAACCAATTCAGATATTTTGTGTCAAATAAATTCGTATTGGCTATAAGTAAGATCTGAATATGCAGGCATATTAGTCCAGATGAAATAAAATCTTCAATGATATGTTTCAATCCATTGTATTTCGTTTCTTCTTATTTGAATGTTGTAGGTTGGAAAGTTGCACCATGTATGAAGGGCAAAGGATCGAACCTCATTTATTTTAGAAGAACTTTGGCTAAAATATCTTTATGAAAATCTCCTTACCTGGAGTATTTTCTATAGTTCAATAATCATCACAGACCGATTGATTTGAACATGAAATAGTCTTATATGATTAATTCTAAAGTTATTATCAACCTCATTTATCAGAATTCACAGATGCAAGCTTAATGATAAAGTAAAAATAATTCTAGAATTAAAAAAATTTCACATAGAGAGACATTGGATTATGTTCAAATTGTAAATTTCAAACATCGTGTCTTGTAAGAGACAAAATCTATCTCTCACAAGACATGAGAAACTAAATCCTAGCTTACTCTCTCACAAACACATGTACCTGGTGCATCATGTATGTACTTCATTGCAGATGCTTTATTATCTTACTTTGAATTCTAAATAGTATCATTTATGTTTTTGCAAGTGACACTACGAGCAACTACATCTAGATATTATGATATAAATATATTTGTTCATTTTCTACAATGTGAACATCGAATATGCTTACAGGCAAAAATATCATACTTTTTATCTAGAGCATGCAACTAGGAGTTAGTTTGTTATCAGCATTTTTTATTGATGTGTAAATTTTTTTCACATTATGAAGCTAGACATTTCAAATTTTTGATACTCATTATGTTTTCTTTTTATTGAAAGATGGAAATGTACAAAGGTGTACAAAGGTACAAAGATGATGTACAGAGGTGATTTAGCTCAAGAATGCACCAAACGGTTTGAGGGTCATATTTTGTAGTCAGATTATTTCGAAAGATTTAGACAATAAATCTAAAGTGCACAGTACATTCGATTCAATTATTCAAGTTTGCGATCCATATGAACTAGAGATTTCTGAGCTCAAATGTCCATAACAAAGTTTCTCATTTGCAATTTCAACTTAAATGCTTCAAGATGATGACCACCTTTACTTCCACATAATTCTTAGTTCTCCAATTTTGATAGACTTTGTAAATAATTGGTTTTTATTGTACGGTCTTTCGATCCAACGTCGTAGCCATGATATCTTGTCCACTTCTGTTCTTCGTGATTCCTCCCGTGCATTGTTGACAGTACCAACTACATGCACGGCATAATTGATAGTGAATGCACATGCATTAACATCGGTTCTTGTTCTCCCTCCCACCCATGGAGGCTCTGTGAATTCACAGGGAAACGTGTATGTTGCGCTGCTGCAGTCACAGTCATCATCATAAGCTATTATGCACTTCGGCGTTGAGGACAAGTATCTTCAATTATTCATTCACAGGCTGACACAGTACGCAGTTTCAATGAGAGGACTCAATAAACTATCCGTACTGGCGTGATCCACACATTGCTACCTTTCGCTTCCAATCTATCACAGCGCATTAACTGATCAATGCCATACGTATCTCGAGCGAGCTGCTGTAGTAGCTCGATTCTTTTTCAAAATACGCCAAAAAGAGTGCCAACCTTTGCGCACTAACCGTTTCTCTGCCTCGAATGGACTCGCAAGGGTCCTTCATACTCTTCTCAGAACTCTTTTATATACAAAGAATGTGTCATGGTTGCTGGAATTTCGACGTCCTGCCTCTAGTCTCAATACCGGGAGTAAAGCAGGTTGAGTGGCCGACTAACGTGAACCAACTGGAGAATATTTACTGCTGTTTGATTCCCTGGATAAAGATATTGTGCAGCAGTGTTTTTCCTACTTCAAATCTAAGAGTAAATGAGTAGATTCGTTTGACTAAATCTTCAAAACTTCGTTTTGAGCCTGTCTGCTCGTTCGTCTGCTCGTCACTGTTGTACTGCCTGTGGAGTGCCTGCCTCACTTGCATCCTCGATCTGAGCTGTAGGCTCTTCAGCTCCTGGACCTTCCTCAACAGCAACTGCAGGCTCTTCTGACGCTTCTTGAGCAACAACTTGCTCTGAAGCTGACGTTTCTTGCTCCGTGTCCGGCTCTGCGGATGGCACATTTATCTTACTGTCTGGGGCACCACTGGCATAACGACGGCTATCATCCAGCAACGCTACCAACGTTGCCATTCGAGGGTCGTCCTTTGGTGTGCCACTCCTCTGTTCACAAAACAAGTTAACGTGGCGATAGGCTAAGTTAGAAGGTGAAACGAACCTTCTATAAAAGCAAAACACATTTCAGAAACTGGCAATTATCTACCGTCACATGTGAAATGACTTCAGTCATTCCAAACACAAATAATCTCTTCCTTCTCTATGCTGCGAAATTCCAAACGGTTAGTTAGAAAGCTTGCATATGGCATAAGTTGTTGTCAATAGGTCTCCACGACCGACTATGGGAAAAAGACCTCTTCATTTATGAAGAAAGAAAAAGGACTTTATGACAAGAACTTACATCAAGCGCTTTGTAGTAATCCATGATGACCTTCATCGGCAGCCTGACTTGACGAGCTTGCATCATATCCCAGATTATGTTCGCTACTGCGACGTCCCTCGTCTGCACAGAGGAAACCCCACAAACAAGTCAAGCTCCTCATATTGCCAACCGACGTAAGTAAAGTGCATAGTTGTCTGATTACGTTTCCTTCGTTCCTTGGCAAAGCTGTAGTTTCCTGTCAGAAAAAACACACTATGTCCAGCGTTCCTCGACGGCATCCTTGAGCTTCGACAGATAATCGAAACATGACAATTCTTTATGATGATATGTTGAATGATCGAGGAGCGTATAACCAGGTAGACATTCTTAACGTTCATAGTACGAAGCCATCTCAAGAACGCGTACAAACAGACACTACCCACTATGGAAAAGAAGTAGAAAGAAAATTAACATTTGATCTGGCCAGTGTGCTTGAAAGCTTGTGACATGCTCTTAAATCGGACACGATGAGTATTCATAAGCGAAACGAAGATGTTACCTTGTCCTGGCAGGCCTTGCTCAAAATTTCGCCGCCGGCCTTGCTGTTCAAGAAAAAGCTCTTCTGCACCAACTCGGCCTAGAAGAAAGAAGTATACAATCAGTACCATTAGATAATCGACAGTCATAGATGTCTTCTGTCCTGCCAACCCCAAATATCGGTTCCATGTACTGTTTCATGCAAAAAAGATCCGACAAGCATTACCGAGAAAATTACGTGCCATTTTATAGCTAAAGTTCTTACCAGTAGCTTTTGAGCAACAGCACTATTAGCGGGAGATGGGTGGGTGATGGCACCATCGATCAAAATCTGGACCACAGGAATATAGATTGAGTAATGACTTGAAATAGATCACTGAACCGACTCTTGCTAGTAGTAAACAAAAACCTTCAGATGCCATATCCCCGTCAGATATTTAATTAGACAAAGTTCGACCCAACGTAGCTTTGTATGCCAGCAATGATTATCGTGTTCGGCTCACCAGTCAACCTCCGAAACGTATTCACAAATTCAATCAACGTTCGAACCACAAGAAACTCAATCCTAGTTCGAAGCATATAACGCAAGAACAACTGACTTGGGGTTTTTGTAAGCGACAAGGCCTACTTGACTTATAAACTTTCGGCTCGAGCTTGCTACATAATAACTAAAGACCCATAAACCGCACAGACAAGATGGGACAACGGACCTGGTAGAGCTCTATCGTCGGTCTCCTTCCCATTTCCAAAAACTTGTTATATTCTAGGCAAGCTTTTTGGAAGTCTCCTTCACTGATGTAGCATCTGTTACACATTATGCGACAATGTAAGGGTTCAGCCAACCAAGAACAAAACTCTAGGCAAGCAGCACCTTTGACTGTACACGCTTGTCAGAAAAGCCATTCAGCCCAGCAGCAAAAACCCTGATGCTTGAGAGCATCTTAAGAAACTTACTTGATCAGCTGCACTGTGCTATATGCATCTATACCATGACCGTCCTTTTCAATCATATGTAGGACCTTCTTTACAGCCTGAAAAAACGACAGCTCTTCTCAGTGTTCACTTGATTTCATAGACGACTAGATAGGATCTTGGATAATGAAACGCGATGAGAAGACTAGCGTGGGAAGCTTTTATTCATACTATAAAGGATTCCCAACTTCGCAATTTATAAGGAGATCCATTCACAACCCATTCTGCTCACCTCGCGATTTCCCAAATCCTGGAAAGCAGAGATAGCAGCGTGATAAACCGTCAGTCGGCGGTTTACGAACCCGCGTCTGACTAGTGCATCATCTTTCTGCAAGAAGTTCAAGAACCCTTCTTCGACGTCGTCCCGAGGTTCGATCTCGCCTGTGGCTGCAACGGCCATGTTATCCTCTGCTTGCGGAACCTTTGACTGCTCCAGTACCTCAAGGATCTGTAGCAAACACTCCTTGCTCAGCTTATGACATTAAAGGTTCAGAATATATCTACTTCACACAGCAATGCCAGTGGACTGTAATCTGAATTCAAACTACAACTCATCTAACATTTCAATTTCAAAGTTACTACTAGAACTACCTTTTCTACGGTATCGGGACTTCGAGGCATCTTGTTCGCGTGAGCCGTTATCAAAGCAGCGTAGCAGTGCTTGTCTAAAGTGAACCCATGAGTTGCCATCCTCCTCACCACTCCGTACCTATAAACAAGAGGAAGAATGAAAAGACAAATGAGACCTCACAATTGAATGCAGCATTAGTCACTCTGTACGAGCAGTCTTCTCAATCCCTGAAACCGTGTAGAATCTAAGGCAGGCAAATTGGCTTGACTTTCATATTGCTTGAATGTTCCTTAACTAGTCGTGAAGAGAACAAGGACTTACGCCTCCTCTACTCGGCCGACAAAAGCACAGGCTCTCAGAAGAGCGAGGAATGTCCGATGCTTGGGTTGGACTCCAAATGCTTCCATCTCTTCTGCTACCTGAATTAAGCGAGCAAAACGTCAATATCTATGATTTACGGGCCGAAAGGCAATTTAAGACAAGATTTAAAGATGGAACCATCAAACAAGATGTACCTGAAAGGCGCGATCGACCTGCTGGCTCCTTCCACATGCAGCAATTATGCAGTTGTACATAGCTACCTGCGTCATTGCACATTCATTTCCCAGGCTTATTATCGGCAAATCAGAGAGAACTAGGTTATGACTTTTTGATGAACCCTTGGGACGAGCATTTCATCCAAGGAGACATATTTAGTAATGACAGCCCGTTACAGGGCTACAGGTTATTTAACAAAATAGAAGGGTTCTAAAATTGTTGATGAAAAATTCAAAGAATCAGACAAGGTGTCTTGCAAGGAGGAAGGACAAGCTTATCATACATCTGGTGTGATGCCCATCGCCTTCATCTCGTCGAAGAAGAACATGACGTCCTGAAGCCGGACAGTTTGCATAGCGCCAGTGATAAGAAGGTAGAAGGTATCGCGAAGTGGCTGGACTCCATCCAACAGCATGTCCTCGTAAACATCACGAACAAGAGAGAATCTGGAGCACATAATTCTTCCACCGTCAACACTCGTTGAAAAATAGTCACAGGTTTTTGAAAGCTCAAACACGCCATTGAAAATTTTCTGCGACATCAAGAGCACGTCTGCCGCACGGACGCTAGACTGTACATGAATCGAGAAATATAAAGAAACAATATCTCCGAGCTAACCATCAATCCGAATAGCAGAACCCCAGCTCTATTAATCGGAGTGGACAGAATTGTCATTACCGTTTCCTGTAGTTTAATTGCTTAATGACATAGTTGTAGGAGTCAACATCAGTGGGTTCAAAAGGTAGTGATTTGGCTGAAGAGTAGGCAGCTACAGATGATCGCGAAGAAGGCTGCAAACCTGACGGCACAATGGCAACAGGTCGCCCGGGAACGGGAGGTCCATTTGACAGTTCTGATCCTGAGGAACAAGGATTCAACTTCAGAATTTTTTTACTCAAAACACTGCAAACTGACCATCCGCGCAACTAATTCTCAGATTTCTTCAGTACCAGACACGTCACGACTCCGGAAATACCATCATCGACTGCATCACGATCAGGCATCGCTTCATCAAGCAGAAATTTGTCTTGAGGCACCCAGCTGGAAATTAAAAAATTAAAATGAAATCCCGACACAGAAGCGAGGATGGCTGCGAATGATGATTTCGCTCTCACGGTTTATCAGATTTTCAGAGCACAATTTCGCCAAGGAAAGTCAGAGTGGAGAATTAATGTTCATCCTCGCTCAGGGCGGCTCCTCGAACTTCTGGGTCCGGATTTCGACAAGGCCAGGGCAACATTTGCGACGGGGAACAAATCAACGCACCGGGCGAGAGAAGGGAATGCAGAGAAGCGCAAGAAACCGAGGACGAGCGCCGCAGCGTCCGTTGCGCATGGCGCAACGCGATTGCTGCCATTTTCCAGGAACCACGAGGGGGAGCCCGATCGACTAGCAGATCCGTCGCATTCACGAGGGAGCGAGCGCGACCACCAAATTGACGATCGACCGAACGTCCGCTCGACAAGAAAGAAGGGTTTCCTCAAACGATCCTCTGTCTGAAACCCAAATTCCTCCTCCCTCTGAACCCTAATGAACACCCCGAGTCCACCTTCTGAGTCCGGCCAAACTAGATAGTCCTCACTAACTTGGCCAAACTCGGCCAAACTTAGCAGCACCTCGCAGTCGCACTCGTCCGAGAGTCGCGAAGCAGGCGCGGCAGCACTAACTTTCTCCCGTTCTAAATGTGGCGCCCGTGCCTTCTTCCTGCACGTTAGCTGCACGCGCTCCTGGGACCTTGGAGCTCGGAGGTACAAGGCTCGTCCGAATCGGAATGAATTGTTGCGACGAGCTATGGGCGCTGAGGCTATGGGGGCACCACGTCCGTGAGGCCGTGAGGATATTGGAAGAAGAGCTCCCTTTCTCTATCGAGGTCTCTGGCTTTTCGTGTCGAATCAATCGTCTCGTGAGCGACACGAGTGCGGGAGACGTGTTTTTTCCGACTTGCTCGAATGTGGGCAGGATTTGATTGTACGACGGGGCATGGAAGTCGCATCTCTGTGGAGGCCTTCCCATCGTGGATTTGATCGTTTTCGGTCTCCGGGATTGTTGGCATTTGCATCTGTGTAAGTGCAGAGAGTGTCGCGAGGAAGGACGAGAGCTGAGGTTCCGCACGGTGCTCGTATGTTATGGATGGTGCGCTGGGAAACTCGTCGACTGAGCTAGACCTCCGTCGTCACGGATGACACATCTGTCGGAGATGAGCCCGTTTCTCGCTGCTGGTGCACCATTACTTGTGACTCTTGAAGGAAATTTGTTTTCCGGTGGAAAAGAACAGGAATTCGAGACTCCACCGGAGCTGGGACTTGCACTTTTTTGGCAGATGTGGTTAATAGGCGCCTTCGTCGAATGCGGCTGAACTTCTCGTGCTCGAATTCCGGTTACCAGTGACATCAGTGGCAGGACTCGCATCCGTTTCACCACGAGTGGCTGCCCCACATTCGATTGTCACAGAAGCAACATGCCGACTCTACGTCCTGCGGATCGATGGCTTGAAACTGGGCTCTTCGTTTATTGTCTCCTTATGATTACTTGCACACTGGATCGCACATCGGCGGATCCTATGAGCATTGTCGATCTCTCGACCATGGAAACCCGAGTGCTTAGGGTGGGCCACGAACGGAAGCAGGACATGTTGCCTCTGAGAGGAGGAGGAGGGAAATGTGTGTACGAGCTGGTGGATTTGGAAGAGTCATTCCTGTACGAGGTGAAAATCTCGTACCCCGCCACCATACCTTCGAGCTTTTCATTGAGTCTTGCGAAGGAGGAAATTGTTCATGGAAGCAGAAGGTTGCTCAACGCCGATAAGATCATCTTCCAAGTCGGGAGAGGAAATTCTCTGCAGATCAGCAGAGATGAGACCAAGTTTAGGGCTCTTGTCCTAGTGACCGTGGAACCAGAGGGCGTTGTAGCCATGGCACACGTCCAGGAACAAGAGTTCGTCGTCTACAATATCATGTTGGAAAGAGTTCGATTGGGCGGAATTCCCGAGCAGGCAATGTGGGTCGGCTTACTCGCATTTGTCGCTCTTGCATTATCGTTCCTGGCCGCACAGCTCTTCCCATCTTTGTTAGAAGTAGAGCAGGAAAAGCACAGAGCACCCAAGCTAGCCATTTCGTGAGTGGATTGTCGAGCTCTTCTATCGATCGCGAATCTGTCAAGACTTCGCGAGATAACTCGACAGGCAAGAGTCGCGATTTCTCGAAGCTTTAGAACGCCGAGATCGGATTGCTCTGCTGAGCTGCGATGTTTCGTCGAAGAGTTTATCTCGTAGTGAATGAGAGCATCGATCTGTTGATGGCACGATTCGTTTCTTGATCGTAAGCTCGCGAGAAATCCTGCAACGCATCGAATCGGGCATCGAGCCAAATTCACTGACGGAAGGAAAGGGGAGTTCTTCGAGGATGGACGCAGGCATGGACGGCGTCACTGACGGGGACGGAAGAATCGAAGATTCGATTCTGCCCATGGGCGCATTGGAGTGACAGCGCACCGTCCCAACGTTCTCCATCGAGCATCGGACGATGACTGACGGCGTGACGGCTCAATCGCTGGCGCTAAGACACGTGTTTCTGCAGTCGAAGGATGGATGTCGGTAGCAACTTCTGTGACGGACTGAAACGGAGACAGAATTCTTGACAGGTTTTATGTTGTATTGCGGAACCCGGTGACGAACGCAGCAAGGAACTTAAACAGGCTGTCCCAAGCTTTGAAGGCAGTTCAAAACCTCGCAACTTTTATAGCGGGAGGAGATAGTTCTCTGGGCTAAAATTTTGTCAAAGGCAATAGCATGGTACAAAAGAATTTTTATATTTCATAATGATTTGTTGTAAAAATATGTTAAGATAACATTACACAAAGTAATTTGAAGTAGGAAAAAATGATGGTAATATTCATTCATGTATAAGACTGAACACGTAAAGTTTGATGAAACACCTGATCAAACAACGAAGTAATTTCGATATTTGCGTCTATGATTTGGGGCAGAACAACACAATCTAAGTTTCGTTATATGATGACTTGTCCTTCATGATATGATTTGAGACAGTTTTGCGCCAGACTTACTATCGCACTTGTATTGTCAGTCAATCCTTCTTTATATGGGTATGAGTTTTCAATCACATGACAACACTTCAATACCTTAAACTTACAACCTTAAAATAAGCCAATACCATCAAGGAGGGCGGTTGGTACTATATTTTGACATCAGACTTTGCACCTGTTCTGTTTCTCTTCGATAGATATTGATATCATTAACATCTTTAAGGCTAGTCATAAATGATGGTTCGCACATTTCACAACACTCCACGAAGACGGGAGAAAAACGAGAATACGCGGAAACAAAACACAGAGCACCCGGATAAAGTGCGGACTGTAGAATCAAAGAAACATGGGGCTGCAATAGATATGTAGGCTCCACCCTTTGGTAAGCCGTTGTTTCAAAAAATAGTGTGGAACATGTCGACCAGTACTTAACAAAGGCTGCGCATAATAAGCGCACAAAATGTACTGAAGAGATCGTAAAAGTCGTAAAATTACAACGATTCGACGGAACTCCTCCGGGTAGCGAGAGGACGCCTCATCTTAACTGTAAGAGATGGTCTTCGTGCACCCTCAAGCCTTCGCGGAAAAGGGCCTCAGCGTGGGTGCATGTACGTTTCAGCATTAAACTGGAGCAAACGTACAAGACGGTTTGGAAGAATCAAGTAACCTAGGTTTCCATTGTACTAACCTCGTCTATCCGCAACTACGTATTCCTTTACATTTAGGACCAAGGCTCTGCTGTGCTGTGGTCCTCTCACCTCTCATGTACCGAGCTTGGACGCCGGTAACATGCTCAATTCAGATAAACTCCAGATAGTTTGTCGAGCATACACGATCTGCCAGCTCGCTCGATCTGAATTTGCCCATTGCTCGAGATACTTGTAAACGAAGAGGACATCAAGAAAACTGACTGTTGGGACAACAACATCCTGTGTCCGGCCACGGGTTTGACCCCAAACTTTACCGTGCTACCCTGTCGCTTGATTGAACAGAGGAGCAGTATGTGCCTCATGAATAATGCTTGCTAGTCGGATACAGCTGCCGACGTGCAAACTATGAGTTTGTTACAGCTTGGAAATGAGGATATTCGCCTAAACTACAAAGATTGTGGTCTCCACATCCTCTTTTGAGCAGCAACAAGCCGCTCTTTGCCTTCCTCGTAGGTGTATCGGATGCTCCAGTGCAAAGATTTCGCAATGTCCTCAATCTCGCTCATCACATCCACAGTCTCTCGGAAGATGGCCCATCCTTCCGGTCTCAATATTCTATCCATTTCAATCAAGGTATCCGAGATATTACACCTGTAGCAAGGATGAGTGTTAGATCGCAGACATATATGGTCAGTCAAGTCCTCCCAAAATAGTTAGAATTAAGTAAAGGAAGGTTCGAAGTGCCCCCACCCGATAATACGGATTAGTACACCAAAAACTACGGCTTGGTTATACGACGAATCAAAGTGTAACGAAAACTGAAACATCCGCCTCATGGTCATATGACTTGACCGCATATTTCCAGCAGGTACCTCATGTTATCATCCGTCTACCTTCCACCAGACTTATCACTACGTGGGCTTTCGCCAGTGCCCTTCTGGAAATTAGCAAACCACCCAGCACTTCCTGCAGCCTCAATAAACCACGTCCCGAGAAAAGCGAATGGTTCGATATTTACCTCTTCTTGAGTCCTGAGAAAAGGTGATCAGCATGCATGAGATCATAAGTTCTCGGGTACGTGCTGAAAGATTCACACCAATCGTGGTAAAGTCCAAAAAGTCCACGGTCGTATATGATCGTCAATGTGTCTGGCTCATCAGTGGGGATCACGTTCATAACCCACACAGGTTGGGAAACGAGAGCAGCTGCAAAACTGAAAGATGCCAAAGACCAAACAAGTAAGTTTCGAAAAAAGGATTAGTCGACAAAAGATTCAAGTTAATAAAAGGCTCATAAGAACGAGACATTACCCTCCATAGCCCGCCTTCATATCCATTACATTCCTTATGGCTGACCAACGGATCCCAATATTTGTGAGGTACGAATTTTCGATAACATTGCGCCAGTGCTCTGAGTCAGAGACGAACTCCTCCGCAGCAGGTTTTCCGTAGATACCCTTGGGAACACTCTTCAACCAACTGGGAGTTGTCTCCACACGTAGAGGCCACTCTACCGGCCACTCTGCGGCTCTGGCCCCCTCACCGGTAGGAATTCTATGCAGACAGCTATTCATAGGAACATACCTGCATTCGGAGTCAACGTGGAAAAATGAGGAATGAAATGGCGAGTGCTGGCCCACTGCAAAAACTATGATGAGGCAACAAAAGCTTGTATATGAACTTGTATTTACAGCCATTCGAGAGCAGAAGAACGCATTTTCATTACCAAGCGGCATCTGGTTGATCATCCACTTCGCACATCGGAGGTTCATCCGTCGTACGCTTTTCATAGCAGGAATTTTCTTGGGGCTTCTGGAAAACAGCAAACCCGATCTGCGTCTCGGGATCTGCCTTGGTTCGAATGACAAGTTTCCAGCACATCGCTTCTGTGACCTTGATAGTTTCTGCAAAGATTCGTTTAACAAACACACCACATCAGAAAACAGTTAATACTTAGGTTGTAGGTTCGCTCCTTCATGTAGTGAACCGGGCAATGTGGGAACTTTACTAAATGCAACGTCAGGCAAATGCCAAAAAAGTGCTCTTACCTTCCCATATGCGCACTTCGTCCGGGTCATTTCTGCGATATACAGGGGTTGCAGACCAGACAAAGTATCCCCCTGGTCTCAGCACCCGATTGAGTTCCAAAAGCAGCTTTCCACCTGTTGTACTCAAGGGGCAGTGTCATTGACAGTCAGGTCATTCGTAAGTGACAAACTTGACAAAGAAATCAAATCTGGATTTCATATGACAGAATGAGACATTGTTTAATATTGGAGGTCCACTGTCAAAGCAAGGACTGAGAGCTTAATTGTTCCAAAGATCACCGCAACAGGGGATACTAAAGCAAATTAAGAGCTCCAGTCAAATTGTGTGCTAGTGTAGGATAGGTGCACAGGAGTAAGTTCTCAGCAGGGGATTAAGTCTACGTATAAAGTGGATACATCCCATACATCGCACTAGCAAACGACGTCGAAGACATTACCTGCAGCATACCAAGGTACTCTGCAACGTGCACAATGTACGGCATCAAATACGTTGCTGGGGAAAACAAGCCTCTGTGTTCCCATCACCGATAGTATTCCTGGAATACCGCGCTCTAGGGCCATCTGGACTTGAGCTTCATGCTCATCTTTGGGGGCAAATGACATAACGAGAGCATCTCTGTCGAACATGTAGCCTCCAAAGCTAGCCACTCCACAACCGACATCCAAAACAACTCGAGTGCTCTTTCCCCAGGTGATATCAGGCAAGATCTGTACGGAAGAAGATGAGCACATGTAAATACTCAATTGCACGAGAGCAAACCAGCGAGCTTCGTATCGCCCTTCGTGAGCGTAGCCGACGATTTAAGATTCAAGGTGCCAAAGGATAAGGTATAACACACAACGAGAAAACACAGTATATACCTTGTGGATGGAGTCAATATATTGAAGAGCCCCAAACTTAAATTGTGTCCCACCTCCGGGGAACACCAGTAAATCTCCTTGCTTCTTGACCCAATTTTGATCCTGCTTGTAAGTCACAAGCTTATCGTGTGGGACGTTGGCATGCCAAATCTGCCACGCCAGCAGAGGGTTAATTTAACTTCAAACTATTTCTACGATAATTCGCACAGAATGGATCCGACAGAAAAACTTCAACTTTGTAGTAATTGTTTGGCACTGACAAGATGGCCTTCACATCAATATTGACACACTAGGAAATTACCTGATTCCTGCTTTCGGGCCAGTCGATACGAGGCTTGTAACCCTCGGGAAGAGGGACAAGACAAGTGGGCAAGTCTTTGCCAACTGGGCAGTGCCTCTCTCGATGCTCGAAGTGCTTAGTGGATGGAAGCTTCTTAATGGCCTTCTTGTTATCGAGGCAGGGGATATAATCCTGCGCTCCTTCCCAAGTGCAAACTTTCCAACTAGACTTGCCATCGTCGGCCACCTCGACAGTTTCCTCTGCAGTTGTACCGTCAGGGTTCGTCTTGGTCTCGTCAGTCTCAACGGCTTCCTTCTCATCCACAATAGCTTTCTCATCGATGGTTCCAGCCTTCTCAATGACTTCGTTGATCTTCTCCTCCTTGGATTCCTTAGCTTGGGTGATCAGGGAAGACTTCTCTGTCTCTTTGTTTTCAACCGCGAGCTCCAATTGTTCTCCATCTGTCACTGTTGTAGGTATGGTGTCGGTATCTTTGGTCTCAGTGGTAGACTCCTCTTTGTCAGTAGAATCGTCCTCGACCTTTTCAGTATCCACGTCGCTCTCTTCCTGCTGTTCGATGCCGTCTTCGATCTTCTTGTCCTGACTTTGCAAGTCCTCTTCACTGACATCGGCACTATCGGTCTTATCTACCTCTGCCTTCTCCTCGTTGTCGCCAGGTTCCCCGGCTTTCTCGGCTTCGGTGAGTTCATCGGCACTGTCAGCATCCGGAGTTTTCTCATCTCCTTTATCGTCGTCTACTTTGTCTTCCGCGTCTGCTTTTTCCTCTGACTCGGCGACTTCGTCATACACGTCCTCCGCCTTACTCTTCGAGTTAGCCTTCTCCGAGGTAGAAACATAAGCTGATGGTGAATCTGACGGAGCACTGAGCACCCAAATGGCAACAAGAAACATTGCAATGCATATAACCGCCATGACTAGCAGTCCGGGAACCCGCTTCTCGGGAACGCGAGCGAATTTGGACTTCATCTTGGCGTAATTGTAAAACCCCAATCACTGCTTCAGTTTCCCTCCCAATGTGCTTGAGCTCCGAAAATCTGCGTGATAATCGCCCGGTAGGTAAATTAATTATTCTCTTCTACTGATGAGTCCAATCTTGTGAGCCTACTTCGATAAGATTTGGACGCATTGCGATCCCTCAACTATTACACTACCAGTTGAGGACGCCTCAGCTGAAAGTGTAATTAGGCGAACTCAGAACAGTAACAGAGAATCAGAGAATGAGTCGGACTGATGTATGAGTTCATAACAAAAAGCTCAAAACAGCACAAAAGGGCCTCGTACGACCACTTCTACGACGTATCAACACTTCAAGGGTGAAATTGGAAGTCTGCACAATGCGAGCTCTTCCCGCGTCTGCTGCGGATCATGCTACGGAATGAGGCCAATGCAAAAAGGCGCTAAACCAGTAATTTCGACAGATGTTAAGAAGATCGAGTTCGGCAGATTCAATTTTCATAGCGCTGACAGCTTTTCAACTTTTACAAAAACGGTTCCTATCATTCACCAGCACAAACAATGACCACATTTCGCCACGGAGAAACTCAATAAATTGTAAAAGTTCAGAAAGCTCCACAGCTCCAAACCTGAAGATCGCTGCACGGATACTATCGCGAAGAATTATAAAATACAGGGCCTCTCGAATCTTCGCTATGAGGCCCAAAATAAAAAACAAACCAAACCAACCCAGCCAAAAAAAAGCCGGCAGCAGCAGACGAAAAAGGGGACAGACACTGAAACACAACCGGCGCAAAGTCCACATTCAGGACCTCAATCTCTCTCTCGCTGTACCTGAATCCGGTGACAGCCGAGGCGAAATGCACATCAAACTACACATACGCAAAGTACCCAACAACCACGGCAGCAGCTAGCGGAGATGTCCAAGCGCCAAGCTACGAAGATCTACGCTCCGATCGCCCACGGCATTGAAGGCTCGCACCAGCAAAGGGACACCGTCCCGACTCCTCCTTAAATACAGACCGAGCCACGCGCCTCACAATGCACATCTCTGCCGTCTCTCCCGAACGCTAAACTCAACGACTAAGCTTCGTTCGGCCCCACGACAGCACACAAACGGCTCCGGCATCAGTCTCCTCACCTCTTTCACCTCACACCTCTCACAAATTGCGCGCCGCGCAATGCAGTTCCAACAGCACTCGAGGACTCGTCTTTCGACACGAGGGAATTAAAATGACGCACCGTCGGCGCACGAACTCCCGATGCCCCACCCGCTAGCTTGCTTCAGGATGGGCTTTCAAAATCGCGACGATCCTGCCGATACCGAGCTCATCTCCACGCCGCGCTCAGCTCCGACCATGCGAGCCTCGAATCCATTCCGCGTGAACCCAGTCGACTCCTTGCTCCGAATTCCGCCCCGGCCCCGGCGTCAACACCGACAACTTAGGCGACGACGACACAAGTGCATAGCTCACGATTCGGCTCACAGCCCGACGCAACTCGCGCAGCTCAGGTCCGAGCAGCAGCAAGTGACGCGCTGACGCCTTTCATGCCCTCGCGAGAAGGACGCAGCAGAAATCGAGCGAGGGTCGAGAGATCTCGAGGAAAAGGAGCCCACTGACACGAGACTTAACTACAACCCTTTTCGCCCGAAAACTCGTTCGGCCCGAGACGCGAAAACAGGCGAAATTGCCCTCGTCGTCACTCGGCATCGCCCTCGGATCCTGCCCTCGTCGCTCGTGGAAACCGGTGATCTGTCCGTCCGTTCGATCCGCACCGCCGAGTGGTCCTCGGAGATCCACCACGTGGACTCGCTTGGACGTGGTAGTATTGAACCACTGCTCCTCGTACTGTGCTGTATGGTACAGCTCAATGCCTGGTCCACTCGAAATTAAATGCTCCTGTTTCTCTCCTATTCGTTTGGACCATTGTCCAATTAAGCGGTGCAGAAAACTACAGTAGTGTTCGCCCCTTTGTAATCATGGATCCCGATTGGATCATTGTGCAGTTCATCGCATTGTTTGTCGTTATCAATCCCAACGAAAGGAGAGCAATTTCAACCCGAATATTGGAGCCATTTCGTCATACCGTACTCTGCGGTTTAACATTTCAAACAGTCAAAACCTAAACATTGTACTTCGTGCATGCACACACATGTTCTAAGGTGCAAACATATAAGATAATGTTCTATATATCAGTTTTTTTCCAATATTAACAACACCACCCTGACTTCCACTCGAAAGTCTCCAGAGATTTACCTTACGAAGACTCTCTAGTGTACGCATTGTGTGGCGCGACAAAGCTAAATGTGGTGCACATCCCATTAGCTGGAAGGATCATTATTGACTTTGGTTCATGCTAACCCAAAAAACTGTTGCGATTTTTGTTCAATCCTGCAAGAATTTATTTTAAGGAATTCAAAAGAAAAATACCAAAATCAGTCACTAAAATTTAACTGAAAATACTGCAGTAGTTTCAGTCGGTTGGACTTCAAAAGAATTCATGCCCATTATATATCTATATCAAGTAAGGCCGGAGATAAAACTTTACGTCATTGGCATATTTTTCAAGTCTGATGACCAAATTCATCTTTTTAGAATATAAGGCGAGAAACAGAGCCTACAGATTGCCTACCTTCTGAAGAGCTCGGTGCAATAGTTGAAATAATCCCCATGCTAGTCGCACTTCACGACTTTGGCACATGTAAATCTGAAATGTCGAAAGGTTTTATTGCGAACTCCACACTTGTCACCATGTGGAGTTCGCAAGAATATAATAATACATGTTGATCTAATCATGGCAAAGGCTGAAAGTGCCATGTTCGTGATCGAGTAAGACCAAAAAGGAAACTAATAACCTCGTCCAGTTGCTAACCGCCACTTCGACGCGTCATAGTTAACTGCTTGACAGGAACCCGAGGAGAACACCGACAACCGGATAAGAAAGGTTCCGCACCTGTGTTCTCGTAAAGGGAAACTCGTTTGAAGAACACGGAACATGTACAAGAGGCCGCGTGCTCGACTCTTTCGGACAGTCATTATTGCAGAGGAGAGTATCCAGAATTTACGGATGCTTCATCAACGGGATGAACTGCGACGGTGCTTGTCTCGGCAGTCGCTACATTTACTCATGGTCAGTGAGCACCTCCGACGCCGCACTCTCCGGCAACCTCGTTGCCAGCACAGCATCACTGTCCGGGGCCGGTTCCATGCCTTCTCCGCTGGTTGGCATTCTTCTTACCTGCTAATCAATGACTCCGCAATCATGTTTCTATTCCGAGACAACTTTTGAAAGTCACAAGAGCCCACTCAGAACAACCCCATGAGCAACTTCAATCGTGATTCGTGATCAAATCTACACAATTCTACCCTCGTCGACGAAATTTATATGATGGTTCTATTGAGTGCAGAATTTTGGAGATTTGGAGATTTGATAAGGCAGTACTCCCTTATCGATCGATTTAACTTGATGATTTTACATAAGACGATTAACTAAATTTTCAGTCAGAAAACCAGAGAATCCTCCAAAAAATGAGCAATTTATAATAAGGAATAAATCAGGAAAAATACACAGAGTTTTACATAGGACGGAAAACATAGAAAACGTGAAGAATAGTCAATAACAGAAACTTACGCAGTAACATTGGCATCCACTACGTTGCCCTCTTTCACCATTTCCGAGGCTGAATGCCGACCGTGGTTGAACGTTCGGGCAGGGCTATGGAGCAGCATGAGCCCTCGCCCCGACTCGCGAGCAGTGATGGGCATCGGTTGTAATGCCGCACGGACGATAGAAGCACGTGGTCCGGCGCAACGCACGGCTTCTATAATCCGCAGGTCAGTGGCTTCCACGAACCCACATGCCGTTAATGGAAACTTTCCGGCATTGACGGGACGTACGAGGGCGCCGTACGAGCCAAAGCCTCTCGGTGGGCTTCATCTTGCGGCGTGCAGGGAATGTGGTGGGTGTTGGTTCCGCATCCCCTGCCTCGGTGCATAAAATAACGGACCATTCCGGCAGCCGTGCTGTGTGTGACCCCGCACTTTTTCCGTTCCATCCACTAGCTCCGTTTGTCTGCCTGGCTCCGACTTCTTTTTCTTCCCACTAGTATAGGGCTCGTACACTTTTTGCCCCTCAGCACAATTTGCATGGTTTCTTACGTTCACAATGATTGATTGTCTAGGATAGCGAAACATGAGTTTCCGAAGTAACATTTCACTCTCAACGATTTGGGCTCGGGTTTTTGTGAGCTCCCCAGGGCGTCCATTTGTGGAATGAAAGCTCCGTATAATAGATTTAGGGTAACGAGAATTTTCAAACCCATGTCAGCAATACAAGAGGTCAATTGTAGTAGTTAATGTAATTTGCATTTAGCATCTGAGTTTTTTCTATGTTTGCAGATTTTGATACTTTGACCATTCGTTCATAATATATCCTAAACACATATATCGCATTCTTTTATTTTGTATCTTTTTATCGAATTTTTAATGAACATGGTTTGATGCGTCTTCCCACAATAATTTATATTCCTTTGCTCTTTCGCTCGTAACCTTAGACTGATAGGTTATTTTGTATGCATGTGAAGAAGTAAATGATTGTAGCCAAAACTCCGAACGTGCATTGGCTGCTTCATGACAACCATCCAGTCGGAATTTGATGCTGAAGCGGAAAAGCGTGGACATGGCGCTAAGACCGTACCGAAGCTGGATGAAGTCGTTCAAATGGTACTTTCATCACAATAGCCACGTGGAAGAAAGCAATCCAAATGCAAAACAATGTGACTACATAAAGTGTTGATCTTTCATTCTTATTTATATATATATATATATATATATAGAATTCCCGAACCCTATGAACTGACAAAAAGGGATCGAATCGCAGTTATTGGAAAAGCCCATCCACACCTAGAATTCCTTCATATTCGCAATTTACACATTATGCAAGGTGTGCACTCCAAAATAATGTTTGGCAGCTGTGAAGGGCGATGACCTTATTGTATCTTAGAGGAAGTGGTGCGTTCAAAACACACATGCCACCAGTTGTGACCTATTGAGACAAATGGAATGCTCGAGTTGCTCAAAGGCGAAAGATGATTGGTAGTCAAAGTCTGAATGAGGAGCATGTGCTGGTTGGTGATCCTCATCGAAAAAGCATGAACCTGGATGCATCTGAGGCCAAGGGGTATCTCCTTGAGATCATGCTGAAACTGAATTGACTTGCAAGCTCGTCTCTTATCTTCGAACTGGAACGAGGAACAATGTATTATCCTTTGAAGTTGGATTATATATATATATATATATATCTCCACTGGCAATATGTGTGTGTGTGTCTCTGGTAATTCGATTATGTCAATTTCTCCATTGTAGCTGGCACTCTCCAGAAATATGGAGGGTGCCAAAGACTCTGTTTGACATTCATTTTCATGTTCGAGGAAAGTACCGTGCGGTAATATTTGTAGTTTTCTCAAAAAAATGGTCGTGGAGAAAGTCCATCAATTTTTTCAAAGAAAGGCTGTTCTAGAGTCAACTTACTAGAGTTGATACACATCATAAATTTCATTGAGCCCATGGTCGAGATCACCTGCCCTTGATATTTGTAGTTTTGACTTTTCGAAAGACTACCAATCACTTAAAACATATGGTAACAAGCAAGCTTTGCATTTACTATTGAAGTTTACACATATTAACAGTTCTTCATAGTTTGTCCTCGAATTAAATTTCTATCATTTCTTACATATGATAAAAATTAAAACATCTGAAAACAAGTATGTTAAAGTGTTACTTTATATTTGGCACCAAGACATACATCTTCAAATCAAATTTGCTTACGTTCATTATCAATGGATTCAATAACATGCATAGAGATTCAGGTTAATGATCAATCTCCACATCTCTCTTATCCACTCATTCTTTACGACTAGAGTAAATTTTGTCTTGAACATAGAAGAAATGAAAGTATGGAGCAAAACTTCTTCAAATCAAATTTGCTTACGTTCATTATCAATGAATACAATTACATGTCAAGAGATTCAGGTTAGTGATCCACCATTTGTTATTATGACAGAAAAATTAGGTGCTTCATCATTCTATTACTTAATCATCGATTGACTAAGATTATATAATCCATTAGAATAAACGAAATAGATCCATATTTTTCAATCCTCACACTAGATCTTATTCACACTCTTATATTTTTAAAAGTATGCAAGTTACTTGATCATTAGTTTATATTATATCAATTCTTTTTAAATAAAATTACTTATTTATTTTTATTGTGATTTTTCCATAAACTTTGCATTTTTTACTCACCTAAGATTGCTCTTACCTTATGTGAAATATATATACATAAAAATCAAATAATTGTTAAGAAATTTGTAAATGATTTAAATTTTTGTTTACATGTGATGTTTATTTTAACACAAATTATTTTAAATTTGTGTATCAAGAAAGTATTGATAGATGTTGAATTTGATGTGGGTTTTAACAATCTTATACTTGATTTGAGACCATCTCAAATCAAATTTTACAATCTTGGAAATCAATAATGAAGTGATGCTGTTTCTAATGCTTAAAAATTTATAAAAATGTTTAAAATTTGGAGTCAAGTATCTTACTTGCAAATATTAATCATCATTGTGATGCTATTGAGATATGTTTGTACTGATTACTTGATTATTTTTCTTATATGACTTGATAGATGGAGACTTATTAATAGTGCAATTATTCTCTTTGTGATGGAAGAGATCTTATGTAATACCATATGATGAGGCATTAACAATTAAAGTAATAAGACATGATCCAGTAATATATGGGATTAAATTGTTCACCATTAAATTGTAGAGGTAAAGAGCAAAGAAAAAGTATGTGTCAATGATGATTTTGTGTGAAGACCATTCTGAGTACTGCCAAGAATTCATGTGACATTAGACTTTGTTCATTGTATGCATATTGAGTCATTCGATAAAAGGTTTCATCAACAAAAAACTCATGAAGAAAAAATGTTTGATTGCTTGGCTGTGAATTTCCTTGGGTGAGCCATTTATCAAATTGGAGTCTATGAAGAAGAATGAAGAAAAATGTGATGTTCTCTCCCGTATTTCTGATTCATTTATATTACAAATATTATGGCAGTTCTATCAAACAACTGATAGTCTATTAATTCATTTCGATGGAGAGCTTTTCTAGATGTAACTCATTTGTTGACTTAGCATGCAGGACGAGCACTATGATCGACCATCAAGAGCATACGTCCAGCTTTTTCTACACAAGATTCAAGTCATGCTCTAAAATTCTACATTTATAGCTGATGCGAATCGTGTGACCTTACAAATGGTATTGCATTAGAGAATTCCATGATAAAAATATAGAAATCTGTCATACTTGGTACAAGTGCACAAGGAATCCATTAATACACAATCAACGAAAAGCACTGCATTGACATTTTAGCTTTGGTTATTTTTCTTCATCGGGTCCGTTTGCTTTCACGATCTCCTCATAGAGAACAAGGCCAAGGCAAGCTCAAGATATCATGTCTCATATGCTTCATTCACTTAAAGATATCCATGCATATAAATAGTTTGCTGAAAACACATTGTTTTTTCAAACAAGTTGTTCTCCCACATCTAGGTCACTTTTTGTTGGCTCCAATGTATTCTACTCATTCTAGACAGTATTTTATATTTATACATCTCATCTTTGGAATTATTAGTAAAAATCCAAGTTTCACACCGAGGAAATCTCAACATCTTCATTAGATTTCATAGCATGGGATAAGTTATGAAACACATGATGAATATGACAAAACTTATAGTACATGGCATATTTTGGAATAAGATTTACTTTCCAAACACGTTATTTCCACTTTGCATCCTCGTTGAAGTATAATATTAACTTTTGAATAATAATCTACGATATTTGGAAAAATGTGCTTTGTTATTAAAAATTCATTTGAAATAACAATAAGTTATGTTCAAAGCATAAAGTTAACAAAAACTTCCATGACTAAAATATGTTTATGTTGAAAATGTAATCTACATATTAACATTTAATTGAAATGATTAAAAATAATCAATTTAATTTTGAAATTATGTATAATATTTAGAATAATTATGAATAAAGGGAATTGCTTTTTTAACTAGTAAAGATTGTTTTATGTTATATTCATTTTGAATGAAACATATTGTAAAATCAGTTAGCATGTTGTAGCATATGATTACTTCATTCCATGCACTTGATTCTGAAAGATTATAATTTATTGTTTGATGATCTACCCGACAATGCCAAATCCTTGTTAGATTACATTGATGGTGATTATGTGTAAGATTTGTATCTGAAGAAGTCTACAAATATATATATATATATATATATACTTGGTGATTGAAGCATTAGTTGAAAATCTATCTTGCAGAAGTACATAGCTCAGTTTACAACGGAAGTTGATTTTGTAACGACAGCAGATGTGACAAAGAAAACTATTTGATTAGATAAGAATATCATTAAGATGAAGTTTGAGTTGTCAATCTACAAGAGTGCTTTTCATATTGTTGCAAATCAAGTGATGATAAGCTGAATGAGTTATATCTACATCAAATATCATTTTATGAGACATCTAGATTTTGATAAAAGTATTGAAATAATCAAGATTGATATTATATTTAATTTAATTGATATGTTAACCAAAATTGTTATTTTTTGAGAATTTTTAGATACATTAAACAACTATGCAAATTTTGTATGAAAAACACAGATAGACTTTACTAATATTTCAAGTACCTCTCTATATTATTATTTCATTTTTGTTTATTGACTACGACTTAGTTCCAATTAATTTTAGTTTAAAGAGTGATCTATTGTTGAAGTTCATTCTAGAACTTTTTTTTGAGTAATTTTATATGTTACAGATTACTAGGTTTAATTATTGTTTTGAATCAACTCTAGCTAGTTAAATTAACCTTGTATGTATTAACTGCCACTATAAGTACTTGTAAGCGAATGCCATTTTGACTTTGTAACGTCATTGACATTAGCATCTCATGTACGTAGCTTTAATGGATGAATCATATACTTCTCTTATCATCTTGTATGGTTTTTTTTTGTTTTTCTTTATACTTTGGCTCTACAATAATTAGCTTATATGAGTTGTTTCACAACACAAAAAAAAACTTGTACATGAGCAGTTTGATGGTATTATATCTCTAAGTAGGAGAATTGTTTGCAATTGATGTTTCGGTGATTCCTTCACTATGAACAAAGATGTTTGAAGTTGTCATGTTAGAGAAGTTGCATCGATCAACTCTTCTTTAGATCCAATATTATCAAAGTTTGGACATATATTAAGATCATGAACCAAATCTGCATAATTTCATGATGGTGGGTAAATTGATTTGTCATGATATAACTAATGATCCACATCCACGTTTTTTATTCCATCTAGAGAGTTTCACCTCACACGTACCGGTACTACAGTTAAGGCTCACTACTCGGAGGTGTTACTTAGAGGAGGTTTCGTAGCTTCATGTTGTTAACTGTAAGGTTACACGTGTTCAACGTTAAAGTGGTCCATGTGTACGACAAACTTCTCCAAGTTTATTGTTTGGCGTTTTTTCTTATTTTCAAGGTTCATGACGCTTTTGCAATGTCAAAGCGTAAGCGTTTGGATGTCAAGACAAAATTGGAGGTGCTCAATTTTCTCAGTAAACTAGCAACCACTTAGGATGAAGCAGCATTAGCATTTTTGATAGCACGTCCAACTGTTTTAAAAAATTTGGAAGCAAAGAGAAGTTATCAGACAAGTGACATCGGAATTAAACAGAGGTGAGATTATATTGATTCTTATATCAACTCGAGTGTAGATTCTTACCGACATGGTGCATCAATGAAGTTGAAGTCGATGCGCTCTCGTTGAACGTGAGTGGAGAGGTGCTCAAAACAAGGTTCTGTTTTTGCGATCATCATCTTATATGCGACTCATGCACGAGTACAACAAGATTGCCAAGAATCAAAACGTTGTCTTCTATATACTGCAAGATAATTGCTCATCTCATGTTTGCGCGTCGAAGATTTTGAATCCATCAGGTTCACATAAAACTTTTTTCCGATTTTAGAACTTGTGCATTATTTTTGTTCCACCGAATGCTACAAGCGAATGTCAATCTCTTGATCAAAGAATCATTTGGTGTTTTAAAGCGCATTTTCGTCGTGCTCAACTAAACCACCAGTTGTCTGAGTATATACACATGTTGTCTGAGTAAGAATTTTGTTGAAAATGTCGAAACACGTGGCAAATATTTGTCACGTGCCACAATAGGTCACTATTTGAGGTGTTATGTCACTATTAGAAAATAATGACGTACCGTTCTTATTTGATAGATTTTCAAGCTAAGATCTAATGGTTCTTCACTTTTAAGTCACTATAAGGAGTATGACACTACTAAGAAGTGACACTATTGGGAGGTGAAACTCTTTACTCTCAAGTTATTATCCTTGTTACACATCTAGATGTAGTATACTGTATACTACATCTACATGTATGCTACACGTATACTATACACATCATCAACAAGCTACATTTACTATTGAATGGATGAGATAGATCAGTTCTCTCTTTTGATGTCTAAGATCTATACGGGATTACTTCTCTCTAATTTTTTCGACCCGGCTTGAATAATTTTTAGTCTTATTCGTCTTTGCTAATCACTGATTATCAATCTTTGATTATTTATCCTTGATTTTCAAATTTTCAAAATATTTATCAATAAAAAATAATAATATGGATAAGTGTAAATAATTGGACTTATGAATATCGCTATTTTTTCATGAGGGTCCCCCTCTCCATATTTTTTCTTATATTTTCCATACGAACGGGAGGTAAGTACTTATGATGTCATGGGAGCAGTTTAATATAAAGATGAAGAGTCTGGAAAGGGTTGCGGGCATGGGCCAATGTGGGTCCATTGTGAAACCGCCGGGCGGCCGCCCGAGATCGGCGTCGGGAGAAAGAGGTCGGAGCCCGTGAGGCGCACTCGTCGTCATGTGATGCTCACGTTTCCATTAAGGCTGCGGATCATGCGACCAGCACCGCAGCGCAGCATTCGTCCATGTTCAGATCTCGTCGAGCTGCCGGAATGGCCCACGATGGAAGCACTCTCCCGGATCCCCCAAGTTAAGCAATGTCGACAAACGCCATGGCGATCGGAGCTCAGAGAGAAAATCGGAGTCCTGGATCGAGATGTTCTTATACAGAATCAGACAGGCGGCGAGTAAAGCCAGCGAGAGTGCTGCTGCTGCTGCTGCTGCTGCTTTAAAAGGCAGGTGTGGTCGGCCTGGTGTGTCTGGGCTATGGATGTAGAACAGCTTGACCTCTGGTGGATCCTATAACTCAAGTCAATGGTATTCGATTCGGATGTCTATTGACATCTGAATCGAAAGGCGCTCGTGAGCTCGAGGTCACTCAGAGAAGCCTTCCAGTAAGTCCTAGAGTCGTCAGTGGAGATCTGATGAGAGCCTAGAGACTTAGGCATGAAGTGCCCATAGGCCTCGTCCCTCGGATCTGCTGAAAGGTGTCCGATCCCACATTGGGTGAAGGAATCTCGGCTTTCGACAGCTCGTGCCCTCAGTCAACCGCACAAAGTCAGTGCCGGGTTGCCTTTTCGTGGCAGAGGTGACTGAATGCGAGAACTCGATCTGACAGACGAGAGTTCTGTTCTCAGAGTCCGTGCCTCATCAACTCGATGGTGAAACACCCTTCCGCAATCAGTCCGTCTTTCCTCATCTCTTTTCTGAGTGCCAGCTGAGACTCAATTAGTGACTGTAAAGCGTGTGCCTACCATAGTGAGTGAGTGAGAGATGGCGGGCATGGTGTTTGGGACTGATTGCTGCACCTTGTGTTCCTTGTGCTGGATCACAGAAAATCTTGACCTGCTTTTTGTGCCCTAGAACCTCCACAAACGCAACTCTCCTCAAGAGTCGTTACATGTGAAACATACTGATGAGGCTTCGCCAAAGAAGAAACGAAAAATCGCTGTTGAGCATCAATTTGAAGACTGCGGTCACGTCACTTAGCCGACCTATATAAAGGAAGGAAAGGATGCGTAGTCGAAAGTCTATGTGATGGGCTTTCTCATCGGAAAGCTCAGACATGAAGGATGGCACAAGAACAACCTTACTGAAGGATTCTCTGCATCCAAATCGCTCTTCTTGTTTGCTGGTTCGGCCTGTTAAAGTGGTGGTGGAAAGGCCCTATGGGCCAGTTTGCATACATCTGGACTCTGTACCACTGAAGCACTTTCCGCTGTCGGTATTGCCCAGGAGCTCAGCAAAAACGACGAGGGTTTGACTGATTCCTCGTCTAAAGATTCTTCGGTCGACCTTTGGGCTCTGGAATCCAGAGGTCGACAGAAAAACCGCGTACCTTTTTATCCCAGTTCCCTTCCACTCCCTTCTCGTTTGCAACTTTGTATCTCAGCGTAACTAGTGTACTCTTCCTCGCACGCCCATTGCAACGCTAGGGACCGTCAACATTAACCAGCTTTCATCAGGCAAATGGGAATTTCATAAAAACGACAGGACTCGCACTAGTCTAGACTCAAAGTTTCATCTTCATACTGTAAAAGTTATTTGCCGTGGAACATGTGAACTTCTCTTTTGGGCGATATTAGGTCCGGCGTATTTGGTTGATCAATTCACCTTTATAATTACTAACATCATGATTTGAATTACAGAACCTAACACGTACAAATACTCACGGGATATAGTGGCGCCCAATAGAATACGAAAATTTGCAAGTTCTCCCTACAGGATTTTGAGGTCGACTAATAACACTGGATCTCTGCCACCGATTTAGCTCACGTGATGAAAATTACTCTCCGCTACAGAAACGTCCACGGGGTTCCACCGCCAAGTCATGATCTAAGAGGCGACCATGTGAAGCTTGACAAGTTCTGACAGTAGCCATCGAGCCACGGCATGAACTGAAAACTGCTCGTCAAACTACAATTCCATCCGCACCCATTTCATCACCGGTTCTGAGTTTACAAAACATAAAAAAAAAATAAAAAATTGTCCATGTCACACGTGAACATATTGGCTCAAGATCATAACACGGTGTTACTCCCGATGATTAATTAAGAGATATACAAAGAATGAGACGGGAGCTATCATAGCCGACAAGCTCCAGCTCCCACAGTAAACACAGGTTCAACCTGGCCGCAATACATTCCATTCCGCTTTCAAACTTACTATCTTTTTTTATTGTGGTGCTTCTTCTTGGGTACTCCTTGACCACCAACTTTCTTCTTCTTGTTGAACCCGCCAGTGGCATCAGATCCGTCCCTCCGCCTCTTCGGCTGAAACAAACAGAACAGAACATTTAGCACTTGCACGCTGTTCTTCGTGGCTGCTACCCTATGCACATATCCACAAGACAAAAGACGGAGCTTCTCAAGCGTGGTGTCTCTTCTAGACGGTCCGTCAGTCAGCTTCTATCAGCTCACCTTCGCAGAAAAGGTCTTCAAAGGGTCTTCCTTTCCAGCTTTCTTTAGCTTACGTCGTCTGAAGTTCGTCAGCTTCTCTCCTATGACTGCTCTGGCTATTCTAATTTGTCTACTTGCAGCCTCGGTGGAGGGGTCACGTAAGTATTCGGGCACTGTTTGAAGGTGGACTGCAGGTTGCCTCTTGCTCAGTACCTTGTCGTGCTTTAAGAGTTCTGCAAAAATAAGCACGATGCTTATAAATTCTGCTGGCCACTTTGTGACAATACATATCAAAAGCCACTTGAAAATTCAACTGCAGGCATGTAAAAAAGACAAACTCTGCATCTGCAAAGTTCTAGAGAGTGTCTTCACCTAGATCAGTCGGATTATCTTCAAAATGTGCTTTTAATCTGCAATCAACGTTATGGAAAGTTAGAAACACCGAAGAAATTCCAAAATGTTGCGTGTTAAAGGCCTGCACACTGATCACTGACAACACGAAATTGATCCCAGACAGTCAATTACTGGCACGGTACCTAACCTACCGATCAGAATTCAAAATTTCCATGCGCAACTCCTTAGCTCGCGCCTCTCGTATAGCAATTTTCGTCACACCACGAGACACATCCTGCAAAAGAAAGAATAAGTGGGATGGCAGAAAACGTGTTCACAAACAAAAGCTACAAACTGACACTGAAATCAGTGCCTTAATGGGACATGTAGGCACTGATTTCAGCTGCTGCTCCATCACAAGTTTCTTAGCATAAGTCCGGCCACAGCATAGTTTCTTAGACCTGCTACAACCTATTTTTGGACTCAAGAACATCTACACTCTTTCGTCACAGTACGTGCCTTTCAGTAGCTGGGGGTCAAACAGCGGTGAGCAGTGCTAGATTTGTAATGTTCGGTACTATGAGAAGACGAGATAGAACTACTTAAGAGTGGCGAGTCTTGTAGTGGGACTCACGAACACCAAGAAAGCATAAACCAAAAGTACCTCTGCTCTGTACCGCAATGACTCTACTGCAGCCCGATTGAGGAGTGGGAAAGCAGTGATGCTCTTGTTAGAAGAGCTCTTCTCGGAATCACCTCCTAGGAGATCTTCCACGAGCGAAAGCATGCCTTCTTCTTTTGGTGACACCTGTTAAATAAAGACAGACCATCGTTATTATCTTCCGGTGAAAAATAGTCATTAGAAGATACCACACAATGCTTGAAGAAGGAGAATCAGTGTGCAAACATACCAGAGAAATCGAAAGGCCAGAATTTCCGGCCCTACCTGTCCGCCCTATACGGTGTACATAACCTGCTGGTGTGAGCGGCATGTCAAAGTTGATGACCTGCGCAGACGATGATAATTAGATATAACGTTGATGACTCAAACGACGACAACATATAACACATGGTAGACTGACCAGCAACATTTGTATCTTGTCGACATTTCCATGGCCCGATGACAAGCAAAATATTTGGTTCCTTGACCTCTTCTTTATTTATTCAGACAAAGCTTTCCGGGCAAGTCGAATCTTCGAGCTTCAAACCAAACGGTTAAAGGCCCGGAAATTCAACCCAAACTCTTCGGCCCAAAGGGTGTGAGACTGTAGGGAGAGGTGCGTGGCACTTTGAGGGCGGTAAACACCGAGTGTCTCAATACAACAAACTTTACACGCTGCGATGTGCAAGAAAAGTTCTCAACAGGACAACAGAAAAGTTGGTAGTCGGCGTATGAAAACTTTACAGTTCGAACGTTCTTGAAGTCAACACCTCTCACGACACCAAATTCAGCATCGACAAATCGTTTTTTCTTGTTTTTTCGAATCCTCTTTTCAGCAGAAACATCTTCTTCCGGCTCGTTCTCGTCCTTGGGTTCGTCATTCACTGGTTGCGATGATTTACCGTCGTCTGTAGCTATTAGGTGGTCGAAAAGCCCCACATTGAATTCCTGAAAGTAATCACAGTTTCATACCTCAGTTTCATGAACGAGAAGGAAAGGATTGACGAAACCCATGTCGGTAGAATTCCTGCAAATAATTCTAGGTCGGGTTACCTTAAGAATGTGGATGCGTGAATTTTGTGGAAGCTCCCCATTCAACACAGCTGACTTGATGCCAAACTGCAATCACCAATAGAGACAATGAGCAAATGTCTAATTCTTACGAAGATATCCAGCAGAGTGCAACTGAAACGGTGTGAGACTCAAGTAGACACTAAAAATGTCAGAAAGCAATCGAACGTGGCCACAGTACAATGTGATCTCAACATCAAACTGAAGGATAACTACCTGCTCAAGGAACAACTTCAATCGAAATCCTTTGTCAACAGTGTTGACGAAAATAAGGCACTTCTTTTGTACCAACTCAAATCTCAGAAGTGCTAGTGTATGTAACAGTTTGTCCTCATTTCTGCATTTCACCTGAACAAAACCAAGAGGTCATCAGCTTCCGTACGCTAGGTTGTACAGAGAAGACCTCGCACACAACCAGAGACTCCTAAGCCCCGACCTACGATTATGACCAACTCAAAGTGGCCCTTGCTTCTTGAACTTTGATACGTAATGTTTCCCTGTCGTAGATGAAAACCATGGACGACACACCTTATCGTCCAAAGTTTGGACACGTAGTCAGACAATGTATCGGTGCTTGGACTGACTTCCCCGAGAGATGAAAGTATGTCCTAAGTACTCTGAGAAGAGAAAGGTTCTACGCATAGTTGACCAAGAGGCTCATTTGTAAAAAAATTTACAACTTTCAAATTGGAGATTAGAGACTGCAGTACCATGAATTGCTGGACCGACTTGGGAACAATGCTCTCGTCTGCAGCGTCTTCCATAAGAGTTAAGATCACAGGGTTGTGAAGGACAAGTTTTTTCAGCTTCTCGACATCCGGACTGCACAAAACAACATTCGTCACTAAGGTATGTTCACCAAAAGCTGGTAACCTTGCAAAAAAATTCTGCTTTTGAGTTCAAATTGGAAACTGAAGACGACTAGGATCAGTAAATTTATATTTAGTCAACAAAGAAGAAACTAAAGTGCCAGGAAAGTAAAACCATATCCTCCTGTACATAGCACTTGACGGTGTGTTTACTCACCTTGATGTAGCAGACATCAGTAGGCATTGACAACGTCGTGGAATGTGTGGAGCAAGCTTCCTCAGGTCATCTTCATAACCATAAGAGAGAAGCAAATCAGCCTGCACAATCGAACTCAAGTATTTCGTTTGAGAATTCGCTTTATTCGCCGACAATCTTAACAAAACGGACGAGAGCAGTCTTCAAGAGTGTCGCTCTCATGCTCTCCTTGGTTCCCGACGTAAGTGAATACCCTGGCTACTACGTTGGCTGCATGTGGGTTTACAAACTGGAACAATGTAAGAGACAATCTCATTACTCTTGTTTAGGTACAAACCTCATCCAAGACCAACGTAGATAAAGAATGTTGAAGAGCTGACGGTTGAAGTATTTCGTTTTGGATGCAGACTGAAATACGAGCTGGTGTGGCGACGACAACATCTGGTGGCCCCGCCATGGCAGCTGTCTGGAAGAAACATGTAGCATGCTCCAACATAAGTGTATGCAATTACGTTTTAATCGGTGACAGTGTTGTCCAGAGCATCTGCCAGAATGATAATGAGTCGTCCTGTATACTTCAATCACAGTTCGAACCGCTTAAGGCGTGGAAATTCATTTTTTAAATAGTATGTAGTGCTTAGGTTTATCTCCACTAGGCTTTACAATTCTACGTCCTAAAATCACGAGAAAGGGACCCACTTTGATCAGAATCTTGTTCAACGCGGGTGTGGATACAAACTCTAACTTTCCATTCGGCATTAACACAGCAGTCAAATTTTGACGATGACTATTTCGAGAGGGAATCTTACCAGCGTTTGCACTGACATGTTAGTGGTCAGCTGCACGACTTTCAAAGAGCCCCCGCAGTGCTCGAAAAGCGATCGTACATCGTCATGAACCTACACGTCATTTCCAGATGAAGCGGAAACTGAGACCAGATTAAGAACAAACTTCGATGAAAATTGTGCAGAAATCCAAACGTGAGAAAACTTCCCATGGTGAATGAGCGAGTCACGAGGTCCCAAAAAAAGCTAGCGAGCAATTCGCTTTCGACACAGATGATTGAGATTCATAACTTGCGCCCCTACAGGTGATTACTGAGCCGTACGCACGAAATGAGCTGCGAAACTAAAGCCTAGTCAGCTTTCGCCAAACTTCGACTTCCGGGCGAACTCTCATTAACAGCAAGCATTTCAACGTAGGAAAGGCTTGATATACTGACAACGAGGATTGAAAACTCCTACTAATAACAACGACTGGCGTACTGCAAAAGTTTGTTCAACGAAGTCGAGATTCCTAGAAGGCAGATTTTGCGTGGATCAAGACAGTCACGCTAACTGCTTGCTAAAAGGATCCTGCATCCTTCCAGCTGGTCTTAGCTCATCCTCGCCGCCCCATATCAGATTAAACAGTGTGATTCGATCACCGAAATGATGATCACAGACTGGAAAAGCTGCTGAAGCATACGTGAAGCTCTAGTCCGTAGCACCCAAGTTTAATCGACCTCTCTTCTGCCTAATGACGACTCAATTGCAACACTGGTTGCGATCGCCCAGCCACAGAGGTGACTGGTTTAGGAGATCGATGACAATTTGCCTTCTCTTGACGTGATAAAGGGTAAGGCACGCTTGTTTCAATAAATTTCACTAGCCACATCGAGATGGATTTTGTGGCCAACGAGAGTCGTCAATGTCAACCCTGTAATCAACTCGCCATTCACTCCGATTGTCCACAAATGTCGGGCAGGGACCGAAACGCAGGTAGTATACTCAATCATGAGCATCTACTGTAATAACCTAATGCGAAGAGCAAAACTGCAATGCCCTTTCGCAGACCCAATTCAGACTTCATGATCCCTGAACCAGCTGCATTTCATCTCGACGTGTGGAAGCGGCCCTCGCTTCGTTCCACGTTCTACAGGGCAATACTCGGGAAAAAATGGCATAAAAAATGGAGTCACAACTAATTTCGGCACTGCCAATGGTCCTCCTATTTTACACTGTTTCCATAGCATTCCTCCTGCAACTGAAACATATGTCACCAACTGAAACTTGAAATATCGGTAATATTGACTTGAAGGTCATGAAGGTATCCAGACAGACCTGTTGACATAGCTCCCGGGTTGGAACAAGAACAAAAGCCCTAGGTCCGTCGTATGACGCAGTTCCTCCGGTGTCTCCCAGAATCTTGTGCACAAGAGGTAGTAGGTACGCGAGGGTTTTCCCAGACCCAGTTTTAGCCCTTGCGACGACGTCCTTCCCTTCCTGTTCCAAATGTGCAAATTCTACGTCAGGTATTCCAATCCGGTGAGCGAGACAGCCAGAACCAGTCAAAGCTAGAATTATTCCAACTGCCAAGAAGCATCCACGCCCCAATTGCGCAAGAAACTCACAAGAATGAGCGGAATGGCCTTGGTCTGAATGGGAGTGGGCTTGAGTAGCTTGCGCTTGGCAATGGCTCGCAGCAACCGAGGATCCAATCCCATTTCCTCGAAACCTATCTCATCTTCTTCCTCCTCTTCTTCTTTAGCTCCCTGCTTTTCCCCCTGCATCTCTGCCAGCTTCATCCCTGCCATTTCTCGATAATTTGCTCACGATCCCTTTCAAAAACACTCACAATTGACCTGCACCGCGATTTCTTCGAACCTGTCGAGGCAAGCAATCCATTCGCACTCCAAGCTCGCTACTCCGAACTCCAAAACCCCAGGATCGACGAAGAAACCTAAAACCCTAACCCTAACCACGACCACCCTTCAGCGTAACGGAGGCCTTGCCTTCGCTCGGTTTCACCCGTCGCCCACAAACACCCACCGGCAGCAGCCCATCGTAGCCCATAGTGGGTCGAAAGACGTTCGAGCAATGGACAAATTGGGCTACAAACCAATTATAGGCCTCGGACAGAGTACGGAGGCAGGGCGGAGCCTGATTGGTCGATTCTCGCAGTGTCATTCATTCTTCCAGTTCGAGACCGGCTGCCGCCGGTGGCGGGCACATCTGGGTCAGCTGACCGTGGAAGCGGTTGCGGGTGAGCTCGAAGGCCCTGCCTGTATCGTATCTGGAAGGCCCGGAGGTCGAATGTCCGACGAGCCCCGAGTCTCACCTTGCATCGAATTTCGTCGCTCAGTCAGAAGGTCGAATCGGGGTCGACATCGTGTGGAGGTTCTGGTTGTGGGGGCGGGGACACGTGATCGTCTCAGAGGCGAGTCATCAAAGCGCACATTGTCAGTTATCGGCAAGATTTTCGGGCCCGGCCCCCCTCGTGGCGTGATTCCTCGCTTGAATGCTCGAGATTCCAGCGTCGGGTTTCATTCGGTTGGGGTTTTTGATTCCGGACGAGCGGAAAGAGTGTGCGTTTGGGCGATCGGCGAGCTCTCGAGGCAAATCTCGCGAGGATTCGTTCTGTTCTGGGGCTTTGTGTTGTGCTTTTACTTCGTGGGGCGAGCGAGCGAGCGAGTAGAGTGAGTTGGTTCGTGAGGAGAGCAGGAGCCTGAAAGCATGACGTTAGCAGCCCAAGGGCCAGAGCCATGGCCTTCTCTGCTCAAGTATGGCAACGCTTCCATCATCCCTCAGAAGACTGCGACTTCGAAACCTGGAGCCAGCAAGGTTTGTCGTGCACGATCGCAGCTCGTTGCGTCGTTTCTCTTTCATCTACATTCTACATTGCCCTTTTACGAGTCTCGTAAATCGTATGTGATCGAGAATCTGCTGGGGAAAAATAGAGGAGCAGATGCGATGAGCAATTGAGATTTGCTCTTCCACAATTACTTGAATCAACTGAGCTTTCTCCACTAAGCAAAACCCAAGCACGAGAGACCAAATGCCTGCGGCCGGACAATGAAATTCCTGAACTGCGTTCATATCCACTGATGACAACAATTCCAATGACAACAGCGTTTCTTCGATAGCGTTTCTTGTAGATTGTTCTGGCGTACTCTTGACTCGTGATCCAAGAGATTCATCATTAATTAAATATCTAACGTTTAGGGATAAATACACTCTGCAGTCATTATATCGACTGACAGGCTTTGAGCTTCTAGAACAAGACTGTAGAATGTACCAGCTGATGTTTTTCGCTGAGCAGGCTGGCTCCAAGATTGTTCTCCCTATGGAAGCGAAAAAGGACAGTGTCTCACAAACTGAGGACATTCTCGACTCCATCCTGCCGCCCAGGCACGTCTTTCACGTTTGTTACAACTCAAAAACTGTTAAACTTAAGTCACCCTTTGGCACTAGAAACCTGTGCAGCCTTGTCCCTCAAGTTAAATACGGAACTGAGAAAATATTCTGTCGAATGCCCACTTCAGAGGCTTCTACAGTCGATGAACACTTCGAAGGCACATAATACTGAAATTAGCCTCGCCATTGAAAAGAAGGGTTCAGACAGGATCCCACCTCTTCGCTAGACATGAATCAGAGTCAAATCGAAGGATTCTTATCGGCATCTTGATGATAACTTGCGGTAGAAGTGATTCACACTTTCTAAGATTCAACGATAGTCAAGGCTGACTTCTTCAATGTTTGCAGGACGTGGACAGAAGGGTCCGATGTTTGGATTCAGAAGGTTTCCAGTGCTCCAGCAACTCGTCTTGATGTCATCAACTTGCAGGTCTAGTTCCGTCTACGCTGCAACTTGTAGTGAAGGTTGAACATCAGACGCATTGTGTGCTTCCTGTCACGTGAATCTCAAAAAGCCAGATACGGAAAGCCTTTATGAGCATGTGGAAGTTCATGACGTCGTTACGTAGATGGTGCCTCGAGACTTCTCTACAGATTGCTTGTGTGATTGATTGATTCACTACAGATCTAACCTACCATACACTGAATGTCCGCACCTTGGTTTGACGAACAAACTTGTACCAGTGTCCATCACTGACCTAAAGTTTGGAATTCTTTTTCAAAATGCCATAGGAAAAATTGGATCAACAACTGCAGCATCGGCAAGCTAGGGAGACAGGAATTTGTCCAATTCGGGAGGAACTCTACGCTCAAGCTTAGTTCGCTCCCCATATCCACCTTCCACAACCGTCCCCCCTCAGAGTTTCCCCCGTGGCTTCTACCTCAGACCATGCATGAATTTAGAGACTGGGATCGGATGACGTCTTCAAAGTGCTCAATAAGAAACAAATTAGATGTTTCATGGACAGAAGATGGTACCTAAGACCTGGGAAATTGGAACGAAATCGCATCGCCAATCGAATTCCAGCGCGAAGGCAAACCCTCGGTGGATTTCGGATACGAGGGTATCCTCAATGGCGATGTGTATACTATAAGATTCTAACTATGGTCTAATGCCCCGGTGTCCCTCTGAAGTCTTCAAATGACAATGGAAGTCTGTCAAGTTTTCATACTTCTCTCTCACGTTTTGAAGACACAGATGAGTGAAAGTGAGGAGGGATGTTTGGAAGGGTTGCAGTGCATGGACGAGCTTATCCGCCAAGTTACGGTCAACTGTGCAGAGAGAGGTCTCCTCCTTCTCCGGGTTCGTGATGAGCTCCGAATGGTAAGAACCTGAATTTCACCTTAACACTAGGTCTCCAAGTGGACTGGCTAGAAATTATCGAAAAGAAGAATACAAAGGTACTGACCGGTGCAAGTTCTTCTTTTCGTCCTTCAGACAATAGCTGCATATCAGGCATTGTATGAAAGCAGTGTGGCATTCGGCTTGAGAAAAGCCTTGCAGGCCGAAGTTGGAAAGGCGAATATGGAAGTGCGCATCCAGCAGGTTAGATGAATCACTTTGTCAAACTCATATTGTAAAGATTTGCAGGAACGACAAAGAAGGAGACTACCATTTTTTTACCTTGACCTGGATATAGCCGAAAGTACAAGAAGTCAATAATCGTTCTAAAGGAATCACGCAATAATTGTTGGTGGATCTGGCTTTTGAGATTTTTTCACTGTGTGCATTCGGTTCCTTGCAGTTGGAGGCTGAGGCCAAGGAGCTTGACAGGCAAGTGGCCGAGTGGAAGGTAATAAATCTTCATCCCCAAAGCCTTTGCGCCAGCAGTGTTTCATGCGTGCCCGAAGTTAGGCTCCTACTGTGTTCTGGTTATGGTGGCAAGCACCTCGTTGCACAAGTGGGAACGTTCGCACCATCACCCCCCTACACACCCCGAGCAGTTTTGACTGCTCTCGGGTTCTACGAAGTGCCCATCTCCTAAAACCGTTTCTGCTACTTGCAACGTACGGTACTAGAGCATGGGTTTGTGGTTGTATGCCTCTCCATGTAGTGCTTCACTAAGACTTACTAATGCTGGAGCTAGGAAAGAATTCTGCTTATGGTCAAGCCAAGGACCTGGTTGTACAGAGTTTGGCTTCAACCTGATTTTGAGCAGGTTTCATGATCCTTTATGAAATGTACATTTCTCTCACAAGCATGACGTACACATGACGACTGAAGATGAAATAAAATTAATTCACAGTTTGTGCCGGCCACGCGCAGAACAAGTGTGAAGTTAACGAGAAGAAGGAGATCGACCGGAAGGCGTACGAGGAGAAGAAACACGCCGAAGAGATTGCTTACTTCACTCGCTCGAACAAGCAGCTGAAAGCTCAACTTGAAGCCTTTTTGGCGCCTGCAAAGAAATAGTTTTATCGAGCTTATTGCTTGTACATTCAGATTGATTTGTGTGCTAAAAGGATCACCGGTTTGGGCCCCGAGTGAAGTCACGTAGAGTCGAGAACATAAGACCTTAGGTTAGGCAACGTTTAGCACTGACTGCGGCCTTAGATTTCCTTTGTTGACAACGGGCTTCAGTTTAGTTCGAGAGCCTCGAAATTCCACACCTTCAGATTCATCAAATGCCGTCTCTTTCACTTCAGAGGGGTTGAGATTAGACTTGACAGATAAATCAAGCCACCGGAGCAGAAAAACTTCACCACAAAAAAGTATTGATTCCTATCGTGATATTAATAAAAAAATGTTTGGTCTGAGATGAACATTAGCACGCTACAATCTGAAGTCCTAAGTTTCAGAGTTCTCTTTTCTTATCGATGATCCGTTTCAAGGTTCTCCATAGTCTCAAAAGATCTCCATGTTTGAGAAAATCCTGCAGGCGGAGACCTTGTACCTCGGCAAAATCATCCGGCCTTTATTCCACAGGTTCCAGACACGTTAGATCGTCGCAGTTCTCTGACTGACTTACACTCAAGGCAAAGACTGTCAGCAAAGGACGGCTAACTTGCACCGCACATCAGTATCGATGCAGAGTGCGCTTTTCAACAGGTGTCAGTGGAAACAAAGTGTGGATTTCTCGCACTCTCCTCGTGGATTAGAAGAGGGTCAATGAAAGCAGTGTGGAAGAGGATGAGGAGGAGGAGGAGGGGAATGCTGACCAGATTTCCAAATCCATGAGAATCAAGAGATGGCATCCACATCCACCCAATTCCAGGTAAGGCTTTCTGGCCAAGTACGTTCCATACATCTGCCGCTGTCAACGGCATGCATGAACAAAATTTGGACAAGGTTTGGACAGTCCAGCGCAATCCGGCGCCCCGGATGAGGGAGGATTCGTACATAGAAGGTACAAACAAACAAACAAACCATCTTCTCCCTTTATGGCCACGTCAGCTATATAGAGATCACCACCTCGGCAACATATTTCGGCCGCTGTCCATGACGACCACCATTTCGAGGCTTCGCTAGTTCCCCTTCGCCACCGCTTGTCCTGTAGACCTTTAATCCTTTTGTATTCGCATTCAGGGAAGAGGAAGAGATTGGCCATCAATGCTCTCGGTGAGCATTCTTTATTACTCCCGGTGAGTTATGTTGCACGCCATGACTCGGGTACAGATATCTGTATCGATATCGACGCCTTATGATTGTCTTCCCTCGATTCCAGCCATGTGGCGGAGTTCTGTCCGAATCCTTGACGTCTTCCCTTCTCGTTGGTATTTTCAGAAATCGGTTTGTACTCTTCGACATCGATGACAAAATGATATATACATGTGTCATTTTTTAGTGGTGAGGTTTTATTAATTATTCGATTATTGATTCTATCTGATATTTTTGGTATAGAGAATTTTGTGTAATGACATGTATTGATCTATCAAACTCATTGTATAATTTAATGTAAGAATCTAATTTAATTGTCATACGATTTATCTCTGATAAATTGAGAATATTTAATATTATTAAAAATACTTTTCGTGATGATGATTAGGGAATCTTCCGATTTCGTTAATACTCGTTTCCATGATGGAATACTCGTATGTTTATTGCTACGTGAACCAGGTGGAAACCTCATATAATGTACATATGATCGTGTGTACCATTCTGTCTTAGTAACTGTTGCGTGCAATGTGTTGATCATACTCTCAGTTGCAACCAAGAGCGTTTTTTCCATACAATACTACACGACAGATTCCCGAGGTCACAGCTAACCCCACCAAGGAAAACAGAGCCTCAATACGCAGTATACATCTAAAGTAAAATTGCTCTGGAACAATTTTAGAGACATTATGCAGTTGTACTATGTGAAAAAAGGTGTGTCTGTTACATGTTTTATTCCTTGTGATTTCTTGCTCTCAATTCCCTCTAATCTGCAATTTCATTCACTCCTTTCTCTCAATCTAACTGACTTTGGCGAAAATATATGAAATTTAATACTAAAATATCTAGGGTCAAGTTTTAATTATCCAACTAGAATTTACAGTATGCAAGCTTAACTCAATGCTCTCCAACACTTACTCATAGCTGTCCAACTTTGCCACATTACGTTCTCTGAACTCGCATTAACAAATGTTTCTAACTTCGTTCAAACAAACTCGGTGTCGGATCCCATCTTTGGGTAAAGTTGTAAACAACATGCAAGATAAAGAAATGCTTCATCAGTACGCATCCTCAATCACTTATTTACACGTGTTCGTTCTAATGTCTGCCCACCATTAACCGCCCTTGATGATGCTCCAAGAGGAGTTGGTAAATTGCTTTGCATTCATACTTCCATGATCCCCTGAAACTTGCCTCCTCTAGATTATGAAAATCATTCCATAAGTGCAGTTTGTTCGTCTCTTGCTCTCATTAGTAGTAGAGTTAGAAGGTCGTGCAAACAAATCCTCCTAACTGAAACAAAGCGGATTAATCCCGACCTGTTGCACTCAGAGAGACTTTTATAGAAATCAGGTGATTAAAAATAGAACAGAAAATCAAAGCATAGTCGGTGCAGAGGTTTGGTAACCCCTGGACCATACATGACGCCGCTTCTTTCTTGTGGTTGTTTCATGAAGAGAACATTGTCATCAGTGTGATTTTCTGTGATCACACCGTTAACTACACGTGTCTCGAAAGGCGCGTAGTTCTGACTCTCGATAAAATTATAATTAGAAATCAGTAAACTCTTGTCAAAGCAAGTGGAACAAATTCTTCAAAGACATCTACTGTTCGATGCATGCAACATTCACTTGATCATTGTTTGACTTGGCGTAATTCGATGGGATCAAATCACGAAGGCAGATCATGCTTCCAGTTCGTCATTGCACGACCATCATCGAACATTCTCATAAGATTACAATCTGGTTCTGTTTCCATCACTATTCGAAGCTCAAAGCTTAAAGCTTAAGCGTCTCCATCCGCCTCATTCTTGTGAATGAGAAGAGAAGGTCCACTTTTCTTGTCGCTGCTTTTGACAGTTGTACATTACTAGCAGGCAGAGTGGGGTTTCAGTAGGGATTTCTGTTAGTTAATCAATTTTGTTTTCTTCTGTGAAATGTGTCAGGTCCATTCACATTTTAATCCATTGACTTGGAGCCAACAAACCATAAATGTTACGATGCATCTGCTTCGATCTTGTTTATGATTTTAAATCTTTTGATATATATGTAACATACATATATCCAATCAAACATACGGTATGTTTGATTGGAACCGCTGTTATCCAAAATTGAAAATGGAACTCAAACTACATCAAAGAAAATATTGAGCTTTACACACACCATATTATGCCAGTGATGTGAAGTATGCTGGAAAAAATGATTGCTATAACAAAGAAAAGAAGATTAAAAAGAAATGTAGAAGATATTATATGAGAAAACATTCGAGAAGGAATTTGATGATCCCATAGTCTGCATGGACTTGAAAGTTTGAATGACGGGAGGCACGGAATAAAGTATTGTAACTCAAGTCAGCGGGTCACACTCTGAAAGGTACAGCAACAGGGAGACTCCATTTCCATTATTAAAGTAGATATAGACTGTTGGATATAGAGAGTGCAATAATACATTATTCCCGTGAGAGCCACAGAGGCCAGCCCATCCTGCCCAGATAGTCAATCAGAGTACAACTTGACGGGAGTCCCATCCTTTTACCACGTTACCACGTTACTACGTTACCAAGTCGCTTCTTGCACTCGTCCACCTGCCGTCAATCGTAGTTGAAGAATGTCAGACACGACTGCATCCAAAGTGGGTCCCAAATGCGGATGCAAAGTGAATCCACAGTTCCGTACATTGAACGTAGTCGAAAGTCGAAAGTCGACGAGGGTCGACGCAGTCCAACAGCTGGACTGGTTAGGCAACAGTCGTCGTCGTCGCCGCCGCAGCAAGAGCGTCGAAGAGTTCACTTTCCCGAAGGTAGGACACAGTCCGAGATCCGCGACGAGGTCCCGAGACAGAAAGCGCAGGACTGCGGACGCACGCGAATACGACAAACGACGAGCTTTTCTTCCTGGGGCCTCGGCGCAGCCGGTCGGTGTCGGTCGCTCCCTCGGAGCGAGGAGCAGAGTCGCTCCCGGAAGGGCCAGCAGCTGCTTCCGCGGCACGGGGACGCGACCTCCAGAGCACGTGAACCTTGCGGAACAGAAGCACGAGGCCGAGTCTCCATGTGAAGGTTGGAACGGACACGTCCTCACATGGGACGGACCCGACGACTCGGGTCCGCTGTACCGGCGGCCAAGCCCCGATTACGATCGACCGTTGTTAAGCATTAGCCCGATAATGAACCGAACTTCTAACTCGGGGAAGCATCTTCGATGCACGTTCATCATGACCCTTGCCCGAAGCGATACCGGGAGCCACCGGTAGCCACCGGTATCACCGTGACGCAGATTCTGCCTGGGGCCGCGGCGACCCTCGGCACTCATCATTCCATCATCCCCGTCTGTAAAAGATGCTCAGACCGGAAGAATCTACTCGATTCACGGATACCTGGAATTAGTGTACGTTGGTCGAAGATTCGTCCCGAGTCACCGGAAGCCTGGAAGCGAGGGCGTGAGCAGAGGTCAATCCCGCACCCTCCGGTCGCTGGCTCCCCCCTCCCCCCCTGATCGACTCGATCGACGATGTAGTGCGGGTTACGGTAAACCCTGTGGGTTTGGAGTGCGGGCGAGAACGAGTCCCTGAGAAGATCTCGCTGTCACCCTTGAATGCGTGTAGCAGTTATCTAGAAACTTGGAATCTGCTCATGAAGAGCTGGGGGCGGCTTTCGTGCACTGGACACCTGTTGAATCAGAGCAAAGCATGTCGACTGCAGCGCAGCGGCATTCTGAATCAGAGAGGAAATGGTCGGCGCGGTTTCGACAGGTTGAAGATGAAGAGGATCAGCAGTAAGTAAAAATCGGAGGCCGTTTCTCACCATGTTAAGTAATTCATAATAATTCAGAATTGAAGCTGGAGTCAGCAGACCGAGGATCCTGTCCGGTCCGGCATGGCATGATGGCATGGTCTGCTATGACGCGTAAGGTTTGGTTAAGGATTATTCCTTGGCTTTCCTTGTTGCCAACCGAGGGAGAAGGAGAAGGAGAAGGAGAGAGAGGATGGCGAATGTGCCGCTGGTTGGCAACTTCTGCTGTTACTGCAAATCTGTGGAGCCCAGGCGGGACCGATCCGATCGGCGGGCAACTAGAGGAGGGGATAAGTTTCAGATCGGGCTAGAGCAAGAGCAAGAGCGTGAGCGAGCGACGCGCGGATCATATATAAGGCCATTGTTTAGCTCTGGTACAGTCAGTGCCAGAAGTCTCGGCCGGGAACTCGTTGAATTCCTCTGCGCTCTCGAGGAGGAGGACTCTTCTCCTATTTGAGCAGCTGTGAATCCGGGCCCCCGCCATTCCCTTCCCCTCCCTTCCCTTCCCTTCCCTTCCCTTCTCTTTCCTTCCTCTGACTTTCTTCACTCTCCCGTTCACTCTCTGTGCAAACCGGGTCAGACTTGCTCCTGTATAAATCTCCTGGACCTCATCCAATTTCTCTACTTGACGACTCGTAGAAACTACGCAGCCCCGAAATTCGTCTGATCCCGCTCCGAGTGCGCAAAGGAATTCCACAGGTTTAGGAATAGGTGAAGAAGTCGTGACATTGGATTGCTGAAATTGGGTTCTCGCCCGTGGTCGATATCAAGGCACAGACAGACTCCATTCGTTTTACTCGAGGAGAGGAGTTGTAGTCGCAGTGCAAAATGTGGAACTGCTTGCCATTGCCGTTCTGGGACAGGTCCGAGGACGTGATTGAAGAGGAGAATTCATCACGCAGGGCGGAGAGCTCGCAGCGAGCTGCGAGGCTGCGCAGCGCAAGCAAGAAGATGGAAATTGACACCCGAGCTCTGCTCAGCGGCAGCGGCAGCGAGAGCGGCGCGCAGAGAGAGTCTCTCGTGGCTGACTCCGCCGCCGTCATCACCAGAAGCGTCATGAGGCCGTCCACTCGGCAGAGTGTTTCGTTGTGGTTCGGGTACGTGGTCGAGTATCTCGGCCAGACTCTTCTGAATTATCTGGCCGGAGTGGCCGAGAAGATGGACAAGCGCGAGTACTACTAGAATCTGCAGATGGATCCACGAACAGGAGCGAGTATATTTTTGGCCTTCACGGGCATGTCAACGATTATGGGCAAGTTCAGTGTGTGGATCATCATCGTTTGTACGTCGTACACATATTGATGAAACTCACTAGCTCCGTGTAATCCTTTCTGTATCATAATTGACTGTGTCGATCAGCAATCCTGTGAACCGATCGGTCAGTGATCGAGGAGATGTATATACTGTCCTCAGTGAACAGGCAACGAGAAGTATCAGGCAGTGGCGACAGATATCACTGGGTGAAATGTACCATAACAGTCCATAGCTTCGACCACGAGCTGTGATCATCGTTGGTAGTACTGTGCAAGAACTTGCTTGCAATTTGTAGATTTCTATAGTCAGGCATTCTTTCCCCCGCTTCAGCATTTGAAGCTTTGTAACACTATTTCGGGGGTCTAAGTTAGTCATGTTTTCGTTGCAGCTGGAGCTCAGATCTCAGATCTCAGCACAACAGTTTTCCTTCATTGGAAGTTAGCTACTAGTTGCACTGGCCAGGAGCCATTGTGGGATGATCTTCGCATCCATCCAACTTCTCTAGTTTTGGAACGTGCATGGAGATGGAAGGAAGGGAAGCATGAACTATGACATCCACTCGATTGCAGAAGATTGGCATGGTGGCGAAGTAAAAATGATTACAGTACACACACTGCCTTTCATACACAGATGCTGACGAAGATATCAATGCGAGAGTAGAATCTTCCCCGAGTTCGTTCTCATGTCGCACAAACACCAGAGCGTGGGACAAGGTGTGGGACTGAAGGACGACAGTTCATTGAAGAAGTTTTCGAGCTGCAGCTAAATGATCGCAACATGCTAGAACTGATTGGTAAGCAGCTGGCGGCATGTAGATTCAAGAGAGATTACACCAATCCGTCGATGGCTGAAGCAGGGACTGTCATTCTTTAGGCAGAATGAAGAAGAGCAAGTAGGACCAGAGATGGGAACATTTACTGCGCAAAGCTTCACTCACAAGCTATTGCACGAAGACCTTCAGCCAGCTCCGTAGGACAGAGATGAGCATGCGAGCGTGAATAGATTTGAATGCTAAATAAATAGCCAGGAGATATGCCAGAAATGCGAGAGAGCAGGCCATCCAGTACCAGCATTGGGATCACGTGATTATCCAACAGTGAACGATTCTTACGGTAAATTCTTAGACACTTACCATCGGCGAGAGGACTAGGCAGCATTTGCTTCTCGAGCATCTGTCAACTCCGATAAAGAACTTTAGAGCAGCTCAAGAAACACCCAGCCAGCCAGCACTGCAGAGACCAGGACCAATATTCTGGTTTTACTAGTCTCAAAGTACAGTAGGGAGCTTTCTATGGGGTTCATCCTTTCTTTGAGGACTGCCAGCGTGAAAGATTTATTGAGTAAATTTTGATACGACGAATTCTTTTTACATGCTCCGGCTGACTCATCCAGTCTGCCCACAGTTTGCCTAAAGTTTGCGTCCCTATCCACATATTCATTGCATGTCATTGATTGGGTTTCGTCTATCTTTTGTCGCATCCGTGTTGCACATATTCGAGCTCTAAACATTCTCAAGTCTTTGTAAGGGAACCCAAGCTCATCATTGTGCTCTTCATTCTTTAGAATCTACTCATCGATAACTTTTAAACATATCGGCCAAAATTGGCGAAAAACACAGAAAGAGACGACATTATCATTTAATGTATTCGAACAAAGAAAATTGACTCTGCTCTCTTCATTTCCAAGCGTAAGCCCGGCAGCAGATACGTATAAATTTGGAGAATCGACTTGGAAAGACCCAAGTAACCGAGGCTTCCAAGAATCTTGAAAAGTGTTTTTCAGAAATGCGTCCTAAGATTCTTCGCTAAATTTCACTCAGTACTGAGTGCAATCTACTGCCCGCTCCGTACATTTCATTGAAAATCTCTCATAACCTCACCGATTACGCTATACAGTATACTCACTTCATACGGATCGTTAGTTCTCATACGCAACACAAAGTCAGGGGTCACTTGTACAAATTCTGGTCAACTTTGTAGTCACGAAAGCGAGAAAGAATATTCTATCAAGTTCGTTGCGAATCTACTCTGTCACAACAGTACATATCGTGAAGGAAACTGTACTAAGATCAATCTTCTACACACTTCTCTCCGAAGACAAAAGACATATATTTACTGGAGTGACTTCGACACCTCTGGCAAGAAGCGCAGAAGAAAGCCAGACTACTCTTTACTGATGTCACGTATGCCGTTGTGGATGCTTTCAAGCTAAGACGACGTTAAGGGAAGATATTAAAAGCATGAAATAATCTTCGAGGTGATTTTACATCTCTTCTTGAAAAAAAACTTAGCGAGCATGGTATCAAATCAGTGAGCAAACACTTGCAACTTAGAACATAGCAATTGCAGATCTTATCACTGGAAACATATGCGGTACTTTGCTAAGATTCTGGAGTTGCCATAAACTGATCGACGCTAATTTAGATGTTGTAATTGCATACACTATATTATCAAGTGCTTGTTCATGTTTCTTTCCAGAATTATTTTGGTAGCCAGTTTATCAAAATAGGCGTTCACAATGTTTGTACAATTAGCACGAAGGTCAAACCATTATGACCAGTGAATAAATCTCCAGGATTGTATAATTTCCAGACAAGCTGCGAGGTATACAAGAACAAACGTACTTTGCAAGACACATTATTTATTGTTGGCATGATAAATTTACATCCTATAATGCCCTGAAGTGTGGAAGCTTAATCTTCAGAGCACGAAATAAAAAAAAATGAAACAATGGCAAGTGAGACGGTTTTCCAAAAGCGACTCACTTGTCATTGTTTCATTTGCAGAAACTCTGGAACATCGTTACACAAAGATATTCATATCTAGCATGACCTCAACAATATGTGATTTCAGAGAAGCAGTATGCAAGCAACAGTCAAAACTAAAAAGACGACATCACAGATACAAACTAAAACCTTTCCAGACTATTTCCTTAATACGTAGAAATCAGAATGACACAGAAGGACACCCAGTGGTGCTCCAAGAAATATGTGCATTGCAAACTTGTTTGAATAACAAATACAAATAAGAAAGATTCAGCTCCAGATTAAATAACTCCTTAAATACCTGCCACTAGGAGATTGTAACAAAGACAGATAAGGTACTTTTGTGCTCATGACAGTCTTTGCATCGATAATATGTAGACTTCCAGCATCAGGATAGCCATTATTGCTTTACAAACTAATGACATTCTCCATTCATATATTACTCCAGGCGATTGTCCATCAGGGTTGAGGCTTTAAAGTGAGTAGAACAACACGGCACGCCTACACGGCAGCTCATGTGATCCTTGAGTAGATGCAGAATGAGGTGAAGATTTCTCGCTTTTCCACTGACGTCGAGAGCTTGGGGAGCAGATAGAGCGACATATCCCTGTTACGGCTGTTTTCGAGCTAATTTTACAGCAAACAAGGAACTTCTTCCAGCAAATGAAATAAGGCGATTTTGTGGAGCCGCCATATTCGATCTTCAGAAACAGGAAGCAGTACTCTCTGATTGATCTAGGCGCATTTTATTTTAATTGCATCATTCCGACGAAGACGTTAAGAATGTCTCGAAGACCAAGCGTTACGTTTCAGTTCTATGCCATAACTGTATAATACATTAGGTTAGAAGTCACCCTGTTAAAGAGCCTTTGACATAGGACTTAATCATGTATGTAAATGTAAAAGTCAGATAGTGCTCCCACAGTAGCAAACGAAAATGTATCCACATACGTAAAAACACTTTGTAAACTTTCCAGTACATCGATTGTTCATGTGAACATGATCTCGATATTTTAAAATGGACGTCTTTGAAATAGCCTCTGCATTCTCAGATTTCTTTTCATCGATACATCTACTTAGATAGCTTTAGAAAAGATGGCAAGAGGATTTCAGCTAGACCCTCTGGATTATCAACATGCAACCAATGCCCAGCGTTTTGTAAGACGTGATAATGCACTTTGCCACTGTTCTGATCTGCAACAGTATCACTGGAAAGCCTTTCTAATTTAGATATACTTTCCGGGGACCATAGATCACTCCTGCTCGCCCGCACGATATGCACGTCCATACCTTTCGGAGGACTATCCAATACTGGCCAATAATCCGAATTTCTGCATTTACGCAGAACAAACATCCATGAGCGTGATATGACCACCTGTTCTCTTAAAAAAGAACTAGAACTTTCGAAAATCTATTCACAGGCTTACCTGTAAGAATTGAACATCTCGTAAGCTTCTTTGGGGTTGAAAACCCAAGTCATCTCCTCGCCTGACCCTGTCCTCTTTAGGTTACTCCCTAGCCAGTCAGATAGACTCTTCGAAAATCCCTTCTCGAGCATATGATTCATCAGCCACCTATCAAATTGAGAGAGCAAGGTACCTTAGGCTTCAAGAGAACTTTCTTTCAAGCTCTTGCAAGCCCTTTCTAGCTCTGTTTAGGGTTTAGAATTTAGCGAGTGACTCTACATACACTAAATGCTTACAAAGAGGAGCAGATTGCGAATATCATAGAGCTGCACAGCCTATACATGCTTCCTTATGTTGTTGCAATGGTCTCTGATAATGCACCATTTTTTACGCACCTGCGTGATGGAAGAGGATCAGGAAGAGACAGAATGGTGGACAGTACCAGCTCCACTTCTCCTTCAGAGTTGCGGATAGGCAACTTGCCGGGTACAGAATCCAATATCCACAGCTGTCTCGCACAATGTTCTGGACACCATCAATACCTTCTCTATTCCCACTCTTGCCTCCCTGCTGTCCACTTTATCTACATTAACCTGTTTCACATCACTCATTCTCCAATTCGCCTCACACACTTGTTCAGCTACCCCAAGTGCTTGACTTCCACCCAAATATCTCCAGGGGCTGCTTACTCCACACAGAAGAAGTAGGCATAGAGCTTACACAATTAGCGAAAGGGTTGCCTCTACCTAAAAACAATGTTTCTCTGATTGACCTCCTTACATCTTTGACAGACTTCAGGAGTTTGAACAAGCTGGAAACACGTGGACCTAGCATACAAGATGCACATAGCTTACGTTGTTAACTGGATTCTCAATACTCTAGTCTTTCAAAGTTTCCGTCGGTCTCCGATTCCAAGTATAAAACAAGTCCTCAGTCGAAGAATGCAAAGAAAGCTCATGGAAGTAGTTTGCACAATGGATATGACAAGCAGCTGAGCACCTTCTGTCACTACCTTTGAGCCCATTACTAGTCACAGACAATTGCAATAAACTGGACAGTTGCGACTTTGAAGTCCACTGGATGGGGTGTGGGGGATTGGGGGGAAGCTGGGTTTATGAACATACCTGCTTTGGTGGTGTCACATCTCCGTAGTGGCCAGCAGCAGCATTCTGACCAAACTGAAGGGCGACCTTTCCTCCCATGGAATGAGAGACCACAATGTCGGGCCAGCCACACGAGCTTGTCTTGATGAGTTCCACTACATCTCGAGCTGCAGAGGGCATGTCATGGGGCGGACTAAAGCCTCGGCTAGCTGAATTTCCATGATTACGTAAATCCACCAGCATCATTCGCCAACCTGCAAGATTCAGTGCAAATGAAATCGTTGAATCCAACGTTTGAAAATAGCAGCAAAATGCTAGTTTTGAAGTACCAATTTTTCAGCAGATTGGTTAGATACTGGGGAGTAGAAAATACATGATCGAAACATGAGTTTCTGGTGAAACAGAGGACATATTCCTACCCACTACAGCGCTGAGAATGAACAGGGTGGGAATTTTAGCATACGCAAAGCATAATTCTCGGTGTGCACAAATGCAGAACAGATGAGTAACAAAGACAAACCTGGAAACTGATCCCCACTCTGCTCTTGGGCCTCGGAAGCAAGGCGCTTGGCAAAGGTGCGCCAATTCCTGCCGGATCCAAGGAGCCCATGGAAGAACATCACAGTGCGCATGCCATCTGAAGCCTTCTCTGGGACCAGAATTTCATCATGAGCAAGGGTGGCCAATCCGCTGCTCTTCTTCCTCGTAGTCCGGAATCGCTCCCCGCTGCTCTGAGCTCCACATGCTTGAACACCTCCCCTTCGCAGCACGAAACGACCAGAATTCCACATCCCAATTCCGAGCTAAATTTCTGTCACCAAACGATGGCGCTCGACAAGAATGTCACTCTGCGAGCAGGAATGGACGCTAAGGAGGAGGCACCGGACTTCAATCCTTGAGAAACAGAAGAGCTCGTGACGCTTTCCGGGCCTCGTGGAACGATGGGCAGGGTTTTGAGAAAAGGAGCACGTCGCAATGAAATTGAGTCAATTTGAATATTCAAGTTACTGGATTTGAAGTGAGTGTTTACGAACCAATGTGATGAATATAAGTATAATGCAAGGATCTACTTTTAAATTTTTTTAAGACAACAAGGGAATTACACAGAGATGTGGATAGGGAATTTGATATTCTTCTTCATTTGCACGCGAGATGATCTAGATAATGTTAAGTGAAAGCCATGAGATTAAGAGAAAGGATATTCAAAGAAAATACAAAATAAACAATCGAACTCAGAAATATGTCCTTAACCTTGTTGAGGATATTCTCGACGGAACACAATAAAGTTTTAGTGGGATCTTAATTGCAATAAACTTTTGTATGTAGAGATTGTTTTAGCCTCCAACTAGCCTTGGCTATACTAGTTAAAGTTTATGATTAACTTGTTTGATTCTTAATAGATTAATGAGTAACTCATTATAATGTGTACATTTTTTATTTTACCCTAAACACTTGCCAACGAAATTATATGCTATTTTTTTAATAAACGGTTTGATATTCAAAGTTACGTTATGATTATTTCGGAACATATGAGTGATTACCAAATTATCAAGTTTGAAAATATTTCCCATTATATCAATTTGACCACTCTCTTAACATTTCCAAAGTTCTTTATAAAAGACACATATTTTGTAATTTCAAAGTATGGAAGATGGAAGAAGACAAACTAGTAGAACAAGCAAGCACGAATTCGTTATGACAACCATGAATTCAAAGAGTCTGCCACTTTGCTCAAATTCTATGATTTCACTCGAGTTCATCTTCAATACATTCCTTTCGTACTTTGAAATCCCAATTTGAAGGATTTGGTATAGAAGTTGATGACAAAGGAGTCTTGGTTTTACAACAGAAAAAAGTCAAGAGACTAAAATGCCAAATCTTAGTATTAGTTAGTTTAAATTAAATCTACTTTTTGTGGATAATATCAAGAGAAGTTGAAATCATCATACTATTTTTGAATATTGGAATAAGATAACATGTTAATCGAATTTGGATTGCATAGTAAAATATAAAATAGTATAACTGAAAAAGTTGAAAAGCTGATTTCAATTCAATTTGGATAAATGTTGAAACAGATACTTCTCACTGGTAAAATATATGACAAATATTTAAATGTTCATGAATGTTATCATGGAATGATTGAATCGAGTGTGTGTATAACATGATATATGATATTTTCGGGTCTAGTATTTTATTACTATTTATATTGGCACCACAAATCACATATTATGTTATGGATTATGTAGATATCTAGTCCGTAACTTTACATTAAATATCTACCTGATGTTGGAAGAACCAAAGTGCTAGTTGCGAGGCAAGTTTGATTTTCGTGAGTTGATATATGAATGTCTGTGTGTGCTGTAAAATTTGATGTGACAAAAATGATGGAATAGATAAATAAATAAATAAATAAATAAATTTGTGGGCACGAAGCTGTCATGATTTAAATTCTAGATATTTCAATGTTTTAGGTATTCAGATAAAGAATAAAATAATTATTACAATCAATAGTGCAATCAATATTATTATAACATGAAGAAAATTGTCACAGTTTTTTACATATACAAAGAAAAGTTATATACCTTAGTGCATGTATTTTGTGTCTGATGTTAATATCTAGAGACCCGATAAGGTTCTTATATTTCAGTCTTAGAAAGCTAGGGAGAGTTGGATTCATGAGAAGTGATTTGTTGTTGTACAGCCTAGAATGTAATAAAACTGAGTTGCTGGTTCTACAAACTCGAGGGAGCCAGAGAGGAGTACAATCTAGTCTAACGCTGCATCAAGTTCGTACCGAGAGAAATATAAAATAGCTCAAGTTAGTGGGGTACACCAATGGAGGTTTTTTACATAAACCAAGGACCTTATATTCACAGGCGTCGAACGCTTGAGAGTCTAACATGGTGAAGTAGCAGATACGTGAGAAGAAGATGAAGGAAGACCTCAGATGTAGATGACAAGAAAACGAGGACTAGACTGGCAATTCAAAACCTCAAAATTTATATTAGCTGCAAATTTTCCATGCATTTTGCGTAGTAGATATGAGTCTCAACACTCCTTAAGATGCATCTAAGATACGTCGCCACAACTGGATTCCTACGCTGCTTGTAACCACGAGTCCATTTGTATACTGACATTCATGGTCAGTACTTAGTACTCGCCGACGTTTTGGCTATTCCGTAACTTTCTCAATTATAACTCTCTCCTAACTTTCATGCCTGACCCCGATTTTCTGACCACCAAACCCTAATATCCGCCGCACCAATAGATAATAACAAAGAGAAAAATCCATAGAACATCAACAAAATGCTAATAAAAAGCAGCTGCTTTGCACTCTAATGGCGTTTTATCTCTCACTCACGCATGCAGCAAGTTTTCCAGACCAGCCTTTCACCAGAAATCTTCCAGCAGATGCTTCTGCAGACTTTATTTACTTCGTCAGATAAACAATAGAACTTAGCACTCTAAATTGATCTCGAGGATAATTCCTCAAATCTTGACGAAAATAAACGCCTTCCTCTTCTGTCAGTAGACATCTGTAAGCATGTAAATAATAAGATTTGGAATTTTTGACACTGCTCTCTCACTTGCAGTTGCAAGGGTTGCATGAGCACTTGTCACCGCACTTGCATCCTTCGTTGGTGCCCTCAAAGCTGTATCATTTGCAACACAATTCAGAAGATGTTAATCAATCGCTTTTGAATCCAAGAAGTCATGCTTATTAGATTATTGTTCGGTGATGGTACAGTGATGTAGGACCAAAGAGAAAAGAAGCCAAAACAACAGGATTACAGATTCAATTAACCATGCATTGCAAATGTGGTCAAGATATGGAAACAGATGGGATGATAAGTACCCTCTCGTCTCGGAGCTCTCGAATGTGTCCATGGACCTCATCGGGCAGCAGCTAGCAAGTCAGCAAACCACAATTTAGAAAAAACTGAGAGAAACATTTGTTCCAAATTAGAATTAGCTATCTAAAACTCAAACCAGTGTATCTATTTTTCGAGTGTATATGCTCATGATACATACTAAAGCCATGGTCTTTGGCCATAAATTGAAGATTTGTTGATCCGAAAGCGGAGGAGGGATTTCTGCAAGGTGTATATTAACTAAATTGACTTTGTCTTAACACAAGCTCCTGTCACACACTCGAAGCAAAAGCTTCCGCGAATTACAGATAAATACAGACAGTTGCACAACGAAGAATTCTATTTGTTCTTTGCATCTTGGCTTGAAAACCATGACTTGAACTGACCTGTTGCCAGTGCTGCAGTTGCAGGCAGCGCCGCAAGAACAAGCAGAGCTTCCGCAGCCAGACATCTTGAAATGATTAAGAGTAGTAAGTGGCGCTTGGCTATAGCACGGACGACGAAATGGAAAAGAATGGAATGATAGAGATGTGAAAAGCAGGAGGTTCCTGAGAAAGGAGTAGTGCTGATGACGAATCCACAGCTATCAGCTGCTTTAAATACTGATCTTAGATCCACGATTGGATGGCCTCCTTCGATAAGAATTCAGCAGCAGGTTCTGCGAAAAAACATAAGAAACTCCTACGCCATTGCCGCTGGCGTGGGTAGTGGCTTCCGACTACACTCGTAAACAGAGTATTGGGAGGCATCAATGGCTAGCTTATTTTCAGCTGTTGATGGAAACCATAGGCCAGATTGAGAATGAGTTTTGTCGACAGTTTGTGATGTAGGATCAAGGACCAGGATAAAAGTAAGAAGAGTTTCACTTGTACATGCACAGCCTCAGATTCTGATTCATGGAGTTCGTGCTAGAGGGGTCTGGAAACATCAACTTAGCTCTGCACCAGAGTTGAGCTTAGAACTTGGTTGCCGATTCGGTTTTCTGAGCAACTTTAGGCGCGTACTCAGGCTGGCCAGCGTGGTAAGCATGAACAGAGATAAATCTCAAAACAGGAAGAATGAGTGTACGGGACAAGAGCTCAATCTCCCGCTCAGTGCTTAGTGACGATTGCGATGACCTGGTGGAATCTCAACAAAATCAAAGTCAGATGCAACTTCCCAATCTGGAAGGAGCATCTCACGTTGACTTCATCATAAAACAAAATCACTTGATGAAAGTCAGGGATCGAGGCTGCCAGTTCTCACCCAGAATTCTACTGTTCAAGAGATTGGTTTACACTGTCACCAACTGGACTTTCAATATAAAAAATTATGATATCTGAAATTATGACATCCAAAAATCTTTTTGTAGCTCCATGGTGCATCAGCAAGGAAGATCAGGTTGCTAGAAGGCTGAAGCCATTTTCTGAACATCTTATGTTTCAATTGGACAACTTTAATTTTTCTGCAGAATTGTCTGTAAGATCTTAGAGTACTGGCCGACATGGCCCAATACAAACAATCAGAAAGTGGTGGAATTCTTCACTGAGTTGGCATCCATATAGTTCTCATTTTTTGTGTTAGTAACATACAAAGAATGGCATTCATGATATCGTCTAGTTAATCCAGGCTTAGAGGGAATACCTTCAGGCTTACAAACTAAAGAACCAGAGATTATGAACACTAACAAGTTTTAAGTCAGGTGCTCCAGGGAGTAAATAATGTAGATATTAAGTTGAAAATAGTGGAAACTATTTTCAACTGTGCTTTGGAAATAAACTGGAGTAAAACTAAAAGAAAAATCATTTGTTGTGTCCATACTGGAAAATGAATGGACCTGGAGTTCGTCAAGAATACTCAAAGACATCCATATCTGAAAACTTGAGTACAGGATTTATTCAGCCCTAGCAAGTATTCAGGGAGGTGCTTGTGAATGCTGAGAGTGCATTGAGAACATGATGCAGTGTTGATACAAGTTATCAACTTGGCCTTTGAATCATATGTATACATCCAGCTCATCACTGGATTGATACTAACAGAAACAGCAAGATGAAGTTTCTGTCTTGTTTTCGTGAACAATAATTTCTGGTTACTTCGATAAGCGACAAACCCTGTTTGATGGCCGTCAGAGGCAGCTACTACACAAGGCACCGGCAAAGGCGTAGGAGACTCTGTGAGTGATTCTCTCAACAACTGCCGTGGAATTTCGTGTGGGTAGAGGCATTCAGTACTTAAGGAGACTGATGCCTCTGGATCCTTCAGCAGCACAACCCTTTGCTCTGGAGCCTTCTGACTTTCACATCTCTTTCATTCCATTCCATTTTATTTCGTTCGCTGTCCGTGGTATAGCCAAGCGTTCCTTTCTTTTTTTCAAGCATTTCAAGATGTCTGGCTGCGGAAGCTCTGCTTGTTCGTGCGGCGCTGCCTGCAACTGCAGCAGTGGCAACAGGTCAGTTGAACTTACAATTTTTGAATGGATTTCTTGATAGTGCAGATGTTTAATTTTTATCTTTCATTGGCAGAAGCTTTTGTTCCTTGCCTGTGATAGGAGCGAGATATCAAAAGATTCATGAACTCTGATTGAATCATGCTCATCTAGAGTCCAGGAATATTTGATTTGTAATTTGAGTTTTAGAGAATTTACCTGAACCTTGGGACAAATATGTCTCTCATTCCTCTCTTAATTCCGGTTTGCTGACTTTGATAGCTGCTGCCCCATGAGGTCCATGGAGACATTCGACAACTCGGAGATGAGAGGGTATTTATCATCCCGCCCGTTTCTATACATTGGACACAAGTTTGCAATTCATGCTTGATAAAACCTGTATGTTGACTTATGTGTTCATGGCGTTACTTGACAATACATAACATCACAGTTCTTGGATTATGGGACGGTCGAACAGTATCTGATTATAATCTTTCTCTTTCTGATACAGCTTTGAGGGTGCCAACGAAGGATGCAAGTGCGGTGACAAGTGCTCATTCAATCCGTGCAACTGCAAATGAGAGAGAACACCTCCAACTTATGCTCTATATATTCTTCCAGAAATCTCATGACGAAAACAGGAAGAGGTATACGTTTGTCAGAATTTGGGAATTTATCCTCGAACTCAATGTAGAATCACAGAATCCTGTGTATATCTGACGACATAAATAAAGTCAGCAGAAGCATCTGCTGTAAGATTTCTGGTCATAGGTGTGTGTGTGAACTTACTGCATGCTTGAGTGAATTAAGTTGGACCTTGGACAGTAAGTACGGAGAGTAGTGAGGACTGAATACTAACGTTGGGTACAAAGAACTGGCGTCCAAGCATGCACAAAGAGCTGGAGCTTTTCTTTGTATATTCTAAACAAAGATTGAATACGTGACAAAGATGATTGATTATTTATTTATTTAATATATGTTTTGGTGTTTGATACACTTCATCTCTGTCTGAAGATTTTTAGTTCGAAAGGTGTTTATGATCTTCAACCAATGATTCAACTTTGTTCCTAAAAAAATGATAAAATTTAAGCTCATCACACATATTCAACAGCCGTTCAGAAACCAAAGTTTCCTGTCACGCGAGTCTCCTTGCGTTCTATAACAAAATGGTTCATTTTTAACTACAGTGTCGCTTAAATTGAAAAACCTTAGATTCATCAAGATCACTTCAATGTGAATCATGCTTAAAACGAAGAATTAACCACAATCAGGGAAATTAACAGGTCATCAAAGGACTAGACGATAAAGGAAGGTCACTTTGAGTCGGACTGAAGTAAGAGTGAACTCCAAACAAGCGCTTTAATAAATAATAGCGAATTACCCATGCGTTGTGGTATGCGTTGTGACATGTATCATCATTATTTTTGGGTGATTACTGTTCTGATTATTTAAATCTTAGTTTGATAGTTATTCGAGCTCCCTTGTAATCCAAGGTTGGAGTTTTATGTGTAATGCATTGAATGGAGATTGTTACAATTAAGGCAACCAGAACTCAGACATTGAGCTCAAAATTCTTTGCCATAGAGCGATGATGATTTTTGTTTTTGTCTTGCTATCAAGCAGGACAGAAGATATAATAAAGTATTCCTAAAAGAACAACTGGAGGACTAATTGAGTCTGGAAAAGGTACTAAAACCACTCTGGGGCAAATCTTATTGCATTTGTATAGGATAGGGGCATGAAAAGACCGATGCATCAAATGTCAAATACTTTATATAGTTCATGTTTCATATTACAATGATATGATAGTTTCCAAAAAACCCCTGGAATTTTCCCCACCTTGTCTTTCTTCCTATTTTACTTTGAGAACAATTTCAATGTGCCACAGTTCCTGTAATTTGACAAAAGCTTATAGACATTGAATAAGGTTGTTACAGGAAAATCTTTTTTCTTATATGATTCTTTAAACTATCTGAAACCTTACTCCACTATCTCGTCAAGGTATGTAGTGATAATAACCAATTCAGACAAAAGAATGCAGCCATAGTGGAATATGCATTTAGCCCTGCCTCAGTTACATCTTCAGTAGTTTAACAGCGAGATCTTAGGCACTTCTTTCTCCCATCATTTGAATACACCAAACCCGTGGGGAAAAGAGCACACCAATGGTATCACAATCACACACTTTGACTGCTTACTTTCCGAGGTCCAAATCATCTTATTCTCACGCATGCACTTTGGCTTTACAAGACCATACTTTTGGGCAGAAATGTTCCAGCAGGTGCTTCTGCTCTCTTCATTTATGTCGTCGGATATACAAAAGATCTGGATTTTCTACATTGAGTTCGAAAATGAGTCCTCACATCTGGACAAAAGTATACCATTTCCTGTTTTCGTAAAAGGACTTATGTGAGAAGATAAACGACATGATTTTGATTTTGAGATACTGCTTCTCACTTGCAGTTGCAAGGGTTGCATGAGCACTTGTCACCGCACTTGCATCCTTCGTTGGCACCCTCAAAGCTGTATCAGAAAGAGCAAAATTAAAAGTCAGATACTGATGGACCATCCCAGAATCCAAGAACGGTGATGTTATGTATTGTCAAGTAACGCCATGAGTAGGTCAGCCAACATACAGGTTTGCAGGTTTTCTCAAACATGAAATGAAAATGTCTATTCAATATATAGAAACCGGCGGGATGATGAGTACCCTCTCATCTCGGAGTTGTCGAATGTGTCCATGGACCTCATCGGGCAGCAGCTAGCAAAGTCAACAAACCGAAGTTCAGAGAGGAATGAGAGACATATTTGTCCCAAGGTTCAGGTGAATTATCTTAAAATCAAATGACAAATCAAATATTCCTGGACTCTAGATGAGCATGATTCAATCAGAGTTCATGAACCTTTTGATTTCTTGCTCCTATCACAGGCTAGGAACAAAAGCTTCTGCCAATGAAAGATAAAAACTATACATCTGCCCTATCAAGAAATCTTTTCAAAAACTGTTAGCTCAACTGACCTGTTGCCAGTGCTGCAGTTGCAGGCAGCGCCGCACGAACAAGCAGAGCTTCCGCAGCCAGACATCTTGAAATGGTTGAAGAAAAGAAAGGAGCCCTTGGCTATACCACGGACAACGAAATGGAAGACAACGAAATGGAATGGAATGAAAGAGATGTGAAAGTCAGAAGGTTCCAGAGCAAAGGGTTGTGCTGCTGAACGATCCAGAGGCATCAGTCTCTTTATGTACTGACTGCCTCTACCCACA